CTGGTGGAAAGCCGGCTCGTGTGTTACATCTCGGCGAAATAGAAATCAATAAGATACAAAAGATACATCTGGAAGACTTTTTTTTCAGTCTTGAAATATTTAATGTCCTTAACCAATCATGGTCACACGGGGAAACTTGTAGGAAAATATCAGTTAATAGTACAAAGGAGACGTTTAGTCAACGAATGAGGAAATATTATCTCCTATAATTTCAATAACAATATGCAGTTTAAGAAATTCACTAAACAAGCAAGAGGATCCGCTAATTACTTTAAAACTGCTCGCATTTTGGCAGTTATCCAAAGTTACACAATAATAAGTATGTTTGAATAACATCCATTAGACTACATATGCAAAATCATAATGCACGGGGGAAATGTCCCGGATATTCCTTTCTTTTCAAAGACAAAACATTTTGTTAAGACGTAATACGAAGCAAAGCCCATTCGCATCTTCATTTACACTCGTGGATTGGGGTTACAACAGGAGCCTCTTCATCTAAAATTCTACTGTTAAGGTATGTACTCTTCTATAACATATATTGATCAAACGCTTCATTTTGAAACGTTACGAGGTAAGTTAAGGAGAAAATAGTAGTTGTGTTGCAGTGATGTGTATTTATCTCCTCATCCATTCTTGGAAATATAAAACGTTTGGTTTTCTGCGCCGCTTAATTCACAAGAAATTCTTATTCAAATTAAACCTACTTTCTCTGTTTTGCATTATAAGATAAACACTTCAAAAGTTGTTCACAAATTTCAAAAACTAAATATACCATGGTCATGTGAAAAACACCAAATCAACAACATGAGAGCGATTTACATTGGCCCTAAACTGAGAAAAACATTTGTGGAGTTTTATTTACCTGCAATGCTTGTGGGGTAATCAATTATTAAACGAAATACGCATCGCATTTATATGCCCTTTACGCGTTACTACAAAAACTGAAGTTCAACGCACTTTTACTTAGTCGGCTGCTGTTTTATCAACTGAATTTTCTAGCTACCTGCAAATGACAAGTTAAAAGAGATCACTTAAGGAAAACAGTGTTACGTGATGATCTAAAATCGTCTTGTGAATATGTTTGCTCGCAAAAAGATGGAGGAGTTCGAAGCGGCAAACGAGACTGCTGACGCTCTTGCTCAGAAATATGCCTCGGAAAAAAATGACATCGTTTGCGGTTTTCTCAAGGAAAAAGAAATAATCGGAATGATGCATCAAGAAGAAGTGAATAAGCTGATTGAAAAGTTTGAGCAGGAAAAAGAAAGCATGCGAAATGATTTTGAACTGGAAAAGAAAGACCTGTTGCAAGGATTTCATTCACAGCAGGTGGAAAAGATAAACGAATTTGAACGAGAGCAGGAAAGTTTGAAAGCCAAACACGCAAACGAGTATCATTTAAAAGAAAGGAAAATTGAAATAAAGTTCAAGGAAGAGAAGTCTAAAATGAGACGCGAATTTGAAGATGTCATCGCAGATAAAAACGAAGAAATAAAAATGCTGCGACGAGATTTCTTGCGAATGCAGAAGAACGGAGACGGCTTTACTCGAACCTCGCCAGACTGCGATGTTTACATTAAACGAATAGAGCATGAAAATGAGTTAAAACGAGCCAGGGAAGAATTTGACAATGAAAAATTAGAATTAGAGAGGAAATCTGATCGAGAAAAGGCAGAACTAGTGCAAGTTTTTACGAATCAGACCGAACGAACGAATAGTTACTTTCAGGAGGAGAGGCAGAGAATCCAAGAAGATCACCAAAAGGAATTACAGTTTAAGCTAGAGGTTACCGAAAGGTTGCTCTCTGAGAAATTTGACCTTGAAAAGACAAGAATGATTCAACAATTTAAGCGCGAGATAGGAGAGCTGCAGGAGAGTTTAGAGATCGGTTGTAACGAGAAGCTCCTTGAAAAGGAAGAAACCATTGATGAGCTTGAAAAAGAGAAAAGAGATTTGCTGAATGCACTGCAAATCGAAAGATTTAGTTTAGCTCATGTCTATAATCGTGAACTATCTTTGCTTACTAAGCCAGATCGGCCGACCAAAGAGGACGTGGAAGTCGCTCTCATCGACGAAATTGCCAAACTGAAACAAGAACATGGTGAAGCGTTGACTGAAATGGATAGACAACACAAGCAGAAGATAGAAGTAATTAAAAGGGGCCAGCAACCTATCAAAGAATTAGAAAACAAACATCGAAAGGAGATCGAGAACCTTAAAAAGCAATTTGAAAGTGAGAAGGAGAGTTTGGAGGAAGAATTCAGGAAAGAGCAGTTCAATTTGTTAAAGAGTTTTGAATTTGAACGGAATGACCTTGAACAGCGATATAAAGAGATGATAAATGAAAAGCAAATGGAAATTCAACAGAGAGAAGACGACATGCGAAACATGTACGAGGGAGAACTTGATGGACTCAAGAAAATTGTCGAGGATCAGAGAAAAGAACTGGAAGTCTCCAAGCAGAAACTGGAAGATTTGGCCGGTGAGATGGAGGAGTTTGCCAGCGAAAAGAATAGAATGGAAGAAAAATTTCACAAGGAAAATAATCTGTGTCAAAACCTGGAGCAAAATATGCAAATCAATCTGCAAGCATTCGAGAAAAACATGAAGGAGGCTGAAACACTGCATCATCGGGAACTTTCTACGAAAATGGAAGAATTTGCAAAGGAGAAAGATGAACTGAGGAAAAACAGTGAGAATGAAAAGGCAAATTTACAAAAGGAAATCGAAATTCTTAAGGGAAAGCTGGAAGAAATCCAAAAAACACCAGAACGCCCCATTGTTGCCACCAGTCAGAGCGTTCTAGAAAATGACTTCGTTGAGATCGACGCAGGTGATATCGCATGCAGCTACGCAACTGGGAGCAATGAATCTAACGCAGTAGAAAACAAAAAACCATTAGGAGAAAAGAAGGAAGAAGAAGGCAAATTCGAAGGGAAGGAAAATGATGTACACTTTTTGGAAAAGACAGAAATTAAAGAGGAGGAGAGACCACAGAGCGTCCAACAAAAAGATATAAGCAAAGGTATTCAGCAAATCCAAGAAAGATTGAGGAAATGTCTTACTGATAAAGAAAAAGAGGATACTTTGGAACAACTTGGCAAATGCAATAAGCAGCTAAAGGAAGCAATCAATCAGGCAATCTTGGAAATGGACAAGCTTTGCGATAACAAAGTTGAATGCAATGATGTGATCCAAATCAGATCACAGACAGCAGTTTCTCTCTCCGATCACCTTCTTGCTCTGGATGATATTCTGACCGATGAAGGAACAGATGGAAAAAGTGACAATTCTGGTAACTACCAGTTAAAAGAAAAGATTAAAGCGGTGTTGAATAATGCACACATATCACATGAAGTTGAAAAATTACAGCTACAAGAAAGACACCAAGAAGAAATCAGCGAATTACTGAAGGAGCTGGCAGATGAAAAGACAGCAAGGGTCCAAGAGGCACAGCTGGCACTGAGATATCTACAAGAGCAAGACGAAAGTGAAGTCCAAACCTCGGATTATGTAACGTTTAAGGTCACTGAGGAAAAAGGAACATTAACAGATGACCTTGAGATCAGGCACGAGAAAATCAGTCATGATAGCACGAAAAGAACCAATAGTGAGAACAGTACAAATTCTTCCTCAAGCATGGTGGAAGAGTTTAGGCAAGAGAACGAAGAAATGAAACGATCAATCGAAGAACTGGAAAGGCATTTCAAAACTGAAAAGGAGGAACTTATGGAAAAACTACATACACAGCATAAGGAATTTGTGATGAGCGCTGACGGGGAGATTATTGAAAATCTCCTAAGGCAGAAGTCTACTTTGGAGGAAGCTTTCAATCTTGAAAGATTCTACTTGGGCAGGCTTTACCACTTGGAAATGAAGGATGAATTGGAACGTTCTCTTAATCGAAAGGCAGAGAAAATGAAAAAGGATCATGATCGTGACAAGATGGACATTATCCTGAAATACGAAAAAGACATTGCAGATTTGCACAGTTTGCTGACGGAAAAGAGTGATATGGAGCTAAGATTGTTGCAAGAAAAAAATGAAGCAATAAAGAAACTCCTTGCCACCCAGAAAAGAAGTACTCCTGAAAGGAGTAAAGCTGAAAAGGGACAGAAAGAGCAAGATCGACTTGAAAGAGAGAAAGGAAACCTGAACCTTACAATTCCACTGAAGAAAGAAATAGCTGATTTACAGAACAAAAGGCAAAAAGAACATGAAACAGCCGTTGCCAATCTCAAAAATGCCATTGATTTAATAAAAGAAATGTCCAACACGCCGTCAATCTCAGAAAAGGAAGAGAAACAAAACGACCGACAGCGATTTCCTAGTGAAGACTCCCCGCGCTTAGTGGTATCATCGACCATAGGGAAAGCGAACCACAGAAATGGTAAACGACTTTTGGTATCCCAGGGTGAGATTTGCAATAGAGAAGAGTTAAGGGCTGCCCTGGAGAACCTTGTCGAATTAGTTCTCAACGACGAAGAGGATTCCGTTTACGATTCAGAATCAACTTCTGGCGCGAGTTCAGATTTAGAGTCCGAGGATTCTGGTCCGACAGCTGCAAAAGAAGAAAGCGACGAGGGAGCGTATTCTGGGCCTGAGTCAACGGAAGGTGACACATTAAACATTAAGAAAGCTCACCTAGACTTTGCCTTTAATCTCGAGAGATTCAATCTGAGCAGAGTATACTATGGAGAATACAGAGACAGTTTAAAGAAAGTCATGAGAAAATTAGCTAAAGCTAAAGACTCGCTTCGCGATAAACGAAACGATCTGGAGAATGAGATGCTGAGTGGCATCAAGCAATTAGTTGACAGAACTCAGTTTGGTAAGGACGGAGTCCTAATATCCAAACGGAACATTGAAACACAGACATTTGATATACATGACACACCAAGTGCTAATCAAGAGAACTGGTCAGAGCAAGATAATGAAGGCGAACGTCCCCTAGAAACTGAGAAGAGACTCAATAGGTCGTCCACCGCGAGGGGCGATAATGAGGCATCAGAGCTCCCCCATGGAGATTTGAAAGGGGAGGAACAAGAAGACGCCAAAAGAAAGATCAATGACGAGAGGGACGCTCCAGGAGAAACATCTGATGAAAGTGAAGAACAGCTGCACCATAGCTTGAAAGACGAAAAACTAGATACAGGTATTCCTCAAGAGGAGATAAATCAGGGTGACGATAACAACCACGAGGATTCTCTTCAAAACAGCAATATTAAAAAGGACGACTCGGACGACGCGGACAAGAGGTCAGGGTTGCCAGCTAAACGTCAGGATGACGGCTCTCCAAAAAAGCCTCACCGCAACGAGGGAGCAAAAGAAGAGGAGGCTTTCAGAGAAAATGAAGATGAAAATGAAGATCAAGAAAAAGAGCAAAAACCCGAAACAGAAAACTCAGTGGATAGGGAGGAGGAATTAGGAAACAATGAATCTATTCGTAGCAGCGAAACGTGTGGCGAAATAAACAACAAAGATAAAGATAAACAACAATCTGAAGCACAAGCTGTCGATGAAGACAGTATCCCGATGTCAGAGCATTTCGATGACACTAAAGAGGAAGACTCGGGGGATAATCAGACAGAGAACGAAAATGGGTCGTCTCAAATGGATGGAGATTCAAAAGGAGACAGGAGTGAAAAAAATGCTCCTGGTAATATGAAAGATGAAGGAACAACAGAGGAAGAAGCATGCGAAGAAAGAGATGGGACCGATCCTAAAGTTTTGGCAAGCGAGGAGAAAGCTTGTATTTTCAAGAAAGATGCAGCATGCCAAACTCTCGATAAAAACGACGCGGTTACTACTGGCCATGAAATGGAAAATAAAGAAGATGAAGGAGGAACTCATTCGGAGGAACGCCCACCTAGTCCTGAAGAAGCAAACCCAACAATTCAACCCTCTCTTGAGTCAGGCGAAGAAGGTGAGAGCCTAGAGAGAAATAAGGACGACAAAAACTCGGAGAAACCCGGTAGTGAGAACATAGTTGATTTTTCGGGAGATGTCAACCATACTGACTCCTGCGATGCACAATCCCGAACAGCAGACAATGCTGTGGACGATAGGTTAGAATTGCAACGAAGCAAATCTCCAGTTGACGACAAAGATCTCATAAGGCAGCTGGATACAAGCAACAAAATGCTACATGATAAATTCAGTTTGCTTTGTGAATTAGTAGGGAAAGAATTTGTCGAAGAAATTCCAGAACTTAAGAACGGGAAAGTAGAAGGTAAAGATCTATTACAAAATATGAATGATCTGTACGTGGAGAACGAACAACTTACAGATGAACTGAAACAAGTCGATGTTCAGATAAGAGAACTTGCTGCAACAGGAAGTGATTGGTCAGCAGATCTTAACAAGCAACTGGAAAACGAGGAAATTGAAGTGTTGCGCTCACTGGGAGAAATTGAAAAATGTTTAAGAAGGAATGATGATAGAGAGCTAACCGAGCATCTTCTGAAAGAAAAAGAGAACGTCTGTACAAAACTTGATGAGATTAGCAATCTGTTAAATGAACAGAAAGAAGCAATGGTGGAGTTAGGAAGCAAGGAGGACAAGACGATCTCTGGTCTCATGTGTAAGATGGATGTTTTAAAAGATGATCTTAATGAGAAAGCACAACAACTTGAATATAAAAGCAAGATGCTAGAGGCAGCAAAGAAAGCGTCGGGAGAAGAAAACGAAGACTATCAGAAATCTTTGACTAGTCTGAAACTTCAGCTCGCAGCTTTAGAGGAAGGCATTCCCGAAACCAAGAACAATGGGTATCCTGAAAGACAGAGTAATGACGAATTTCCTACTGAAATGATGTCACTTGTTAGAAGTAATGCAGACACAGAAAAGAAGAGAGAAAAGCTTGAGAAGGAAATAAAAAGGACGGAAAATGAGATTGAGAGATGTAGCAGAATGCTAGGAAAGAGGGTCAACAGATTGAGGCCCTTTAAGAGAAAACTAGCACGAATCAGGAACTCTCTTGATTTAATGGGCTTGCTACCAGGTAACGAGAGCGAAGACGTACCGAAAGATCCGACGGATCATGTCGATGACCTTGTACACATTGACTCTAAGCACCTTTTGGTGGATGAGAAACGACCTTTCGATGAAGCCGAAGGTATTAGAGAAAAAAAGGTAGAAATAAAGACTGAGAGTGAAGAACTGGACTTAGCAAATAATAAAATTGACTTGCCATATGAGCTTAAACAGGAACTTACCGATAATATCACGACAGTTGAGAAAGTGGGCGTCGCTCAACGCTATAAGGTCGCAGCTGAAGAGGAATTACAATGCCTGAAAGAAAAAATCAATGAAGAAGAAAGTAAACTGAGAGAGGCGGGCTTCAGCGATCCAATACAAATTATTCAGGCTTTGGAGGAAAAAGAAAAGTTATCAAGAGATAAAGTCAAGCTGGATCAATTGCTTAAGAATAACTCAATTCGTGTGGATGAACACAACCCCGAAGTTAAACAGCTAGAGGTCCTCCTCTTGAAGAGAGAAAGTCTGATGGAAAAGATTCATGCTCTAGATGGTGATATTTTTCAAGAACAGCAAAATTTCATTAATGCAATGCAGTTCAAGAAGAATGGGAAGATAAATAGAGAATCAGACTCTAATATCAAGGGGCTTATAGAGAGTAAAGAAAATTTAATTTCAGAACTAAAGGGTACCAATGACAAGATATTGCAGAGTCTCAGCACAAGCGGTCTAAGAGGGCCACAATCGGAATTCATAGAAGAGCTTGTTGAAAAAAAGGTTAAACTTGAAGACGAGATAGATAAACTTCAAGATGCGATAGACGATGAAACAGCACGGGCATCTGAGATGTTGATTGATCTTCTTAAACAGAAAGCTGGAGTTGCCAGAGATTTGAGAATTGATACAGAACATGCAACGGACGTGGTACAGGGGTTACAAGAAATAATTGCTGATCATACCAACAAAAAAAATGACGAGAGTATTTCTGACGAAATCCAAACATTCGTTATGGAAGCACGTTTAATTCTTAGTGCAGAGGCAACACCGATGGTCAATGAGGAGAGAGAGGAACTGCGCCAAAAACAACAATTGATGGAAAACCTTGTCAAAGGAGAAGCTGAAAACCTTACAGAGGCAAAACGAAAGGGGCAAGATCTTACTGAGATCGAACGTGCTCTTAAACATATAATTGAAGAGAAGTTACCTGTAGATTCACGACTTATGGGGATGGATGAGCTCGATGCTAAAGAGGATAGATTTAAGTTACCTTCTAAACTGAGGAAACAGAATGAGAAACAAGCAGATGCTGAACAGCGAGCAAAATGCCGAGATGATGATAGCAACACTTCAAGGCTGCCGACCATTGATGATGCACTGTTAGAAAAACCCATTCAAGAGACCCATGAAGAGCAGAACGAAAGAGGTGAAACAGAAGTACCTTTGTCTACAGTTGGTGAGAAATGCGAGAAAGAGATGGGCACTGGTAAAATAGAACTGGGTGAAGAAATCGAGGAAAAGCGAAGAGAACTAGAAGAAAGCCTTTCTCAAATAGACAATCGCCTCGAAGTCATATTGCTAGGTTGTGACCCTTCAAATGAGCCCAAAACGGTTGTTCTTGAAGGAATAACAACTCTGATTGCCAAAAAGGCTAAGCTACAAGAAGACCTTCAACAAACTCAACGTTTTGAAGATTTCCTGAAGCAAATGGAATTTTCCTCTGGGGAACAGTGCTCTGGCCCTGAAGCAAACAAAGACCGCCATCAAAGAAAAATACAGCTTGAAAGCGATCTTAAAAAGCTGAATGATATGATTGATGGTAGAGAAAGGAAAATTGAAAAGATAGAAGCGAAAAAAGACTCTAAGGAGGAACAATTGAAGAAATTAAGGCTCGAAATAGGGGAATTAGATGAAATAATGAAACCTTTGAAGGAAAGGCTTAGAACTGCAAAGACAGAAGTAGAAGCTGCTTTGGAGGAAACGCAAGCTAACATTAGTGAACAAGAGAAGCTCTCTGGCGAAGAACAGGTGGCACTACACCAAGAATTGGACGTTTTACAGAATGAGATCGAACAAGGCAACCAGAAGTTACAAGAAGTAGAGGGACAATTAGATTTTCTCAAGAAAGAGGTCAATGAAAGTAATGATTCCATTCACGCGGACATTCTTGACCTTAAAAAGTTGCTAGTTGAAAAAGAGGATTTAAGAGATTATTTGGCCGAAATCGATAGAGCTCTTGAAAATAACTACGAGAGCGATTCGGATGAACAGGAACGCCCGACCGATATTGAGGAACTTCGCGAAAAAAGAAAGGAACAAAAACGCCATTTGGATGATTTGCAAAACAAAAAGGCAAATTTACGCGTAGAATTCGAAGACGAGGAAATGAACGAAGTCATGGAAGATTTAAAACAGCAAAGGAGGGAACTTGAAGAGCGAAAAGAGCAAATCTCTGACAAAATACGCGGATCAGGAATATTGAGCAAATTAGCTGAAAAACTAGGGAAAAATAGGAACTCAATACCGCGCTATTACAATCACGATATTTTGGAAGAAATGGCAAGAGATGAAAAGACGCTAACAGAGCTGATGAAAGAACGGCAGGATTCAAAACTGGCTGCTCAAAGACATAGCGAGAATTTGAAAAATATGATGGATTTGCTGAGTTCTAAAATTGGTGAAAATCTTGTCAATTCCCTCGCAACAGTTGATCTTGAAGGATACAAGCCGGAGGATGAAAATCAACACCAAGCAGTGATCGACGAGATACAAGCTAACGGGGTAACAATCAGTGACATACTCACTGATATGAACGAAGAAAATCAACAACTCAGCGATATGAATGGCGAACTTAATTCAGATTTGGAAACACTTAAAGATATGATTGGTGAGGAGCTACTCGATGTATTGTTAAGTGAAAGACTACCAAGTGAAGCGGCAGAATTTGCAGACGTTGTTGACGCGGTGCGGAACCGAGGAGAGACTTTGGAAAGTATATTGCGCGATCAGAGAGGCAAAGAAGAATTAGTTGGGGACATGCTTGGTAACGACCTGTTACGTGATATCTTGAGTATGGAAGACAAACCACACATTAGACAGAGACCCAATCCTCATTCGAACATTTCAGCTATTACAATCATGAGAAATTATGGCGAGGATCTTGAAAATGTAATCGGGGTGTACGAAAAAGAGCTGGATAATCTATCCCAAGAAAATAGCTTACTGAAGGAGAGACTGGGAAAAGATCTTTCTAGAGCTCTCCTGCAAATGGGTAAAACAAGTGAGACGCCTATTAGTATCAAAGATACCGAACAGGAAATGCCACCTGGGGTTCAAGACGTGAAAAGTGCGAGAGGGGAAGAGCTTGAACAGAAGACATTGGTTGTAGAAAGTGAGTATAGTAGTCTGGAAGATGCAGATACTGATATCACTGCTCTTGAAGATACCGAAAGTGAAATCAGAAAGAAAGGAAAAAAGAGAAGAAGAAGGAAGACGAAAGGGAAAGCTGGATTTCATGGTGCTCCTAAAAACGAGACTCTAGAAAATAAAGACCACAAGAGTCAAACAAATGCAAGCTTTTCTGAGGAAATCCTGAATGGAGATAAATATATATTGGAAGATACAGAACAAGATAAAAGATCAAGTATTGAGCCAAATGATTTACCACCAGTACTAGATAACATTTTTGCATCGCTTTTCGATTCTTCAGCCGATAGACACGTTCTTGATTTGGCTTTCGAGGAAGAAGAAATAATAGAAAAACCACTCAATGCACCGCTTATAATGAGAGCTAGTGGGAAAACACTCGAAGACGTCATAGCTCAGTACGAAAGAACTATTGAAAAACCAGTAGAGGAAATAGGAGAGCATGAAGCGAGGATGGGAGCAGAATCGCCAACAAGAGTGAATGAAGCCAGAATAGAAGAGTCAGACGACGTTAGTGTGACGAACGAAACAGTGGAGGGTATCTTTGACGCTCAGAAGAAAAACATGGAAATGCTAAATATCCTGAGGGAAAGGCTTGGAACAGATCTTGTTAATGCCTTGATCGATGATAAAGAAGGAGATCACCTAGATGATCTTATGAACGATGAAGTTGAAGAAAACAACATTGAGATGCATCAACAACAATCTGAAATCACCGACCAACAACAAGAGGACAGAAAGCCTCAAAGCGACGAAGCAGTATTCTTACAAGAGGAAAGAATCACGGACGTAAAGGGCGATAAGGGAATCGCATCACAGAAAAACCAACCAGGGGATGATACCTCAAACAAGAAGGTTCTGAGGGCACCTAATATTGCACTGGAGAGTCAGAAAACTCTTGCTGATGTTATAGCATCTTATGAAGATGGACTGGACTCTTTGCGGTCTAAATTAGGACCATCCTTGACAAACACTTTACTAGGTTTGGAAACACTGAGTACTAAGGAAAGAGGCGACCAAGAAGGGGCGAAAGTACCTCAAATAGGTCTTGTATATGAAGAAATGGACAAAGAGAGAGAAGACAAACCACAGGACGAAGACCTTCCAAAAGAAAACGATATTGCACTATCGGGCAGAGGACCTGTACTATTTAGCACTGAGGGAGTAAACAGTCTGGAAAAAGAATTACGAGCACCTGAGCTAATGGCAACGAGTGGAAAGACTCTTGAAGAGGTAATAGAAGACTACGAAGACAGAATTAATGAAGAAATTAACGAACTTCAGAGCCTAGTTAGCCTGTTGAAAGAAAAACTTGGCAACGACCTTTATCATACTCTAGTTCCGCATTCGGGTTCCAGGGATGAAGAGTCCTCAGGAAAAGACGAAACAGATCAAGGATTCCCGCACGAACGCCATCCAAAATCCCTTGAAATAAAAAGTGGTGAATGTGAATATGATTTAAAATCAAAATCTTTGCTACAGGACGACGGTGAAACCGTGGAGAATATCTTGAGAAAGTACGAAAAACAGATAGACGAACTTTCGAACCTAGTTACTGATGAGAATGATGAGGGTGTCTCAATTTTACCAGTGATATCAAATGACGAAGACAGGATGTCAGATCTGGAAAAAGAAAACAAGGCATTTGCACATCGCTTTGCTGGTCTAGAGAAAGTGATAGGGAGAAATCTTCTGCACAAGTTGGAAAATTTGGAAAACGAAGATTGTCAAAAGAAAGAGGAAGTTGCTGAAATAGGTCTGGAAGATGACATCAAGGCACCAATAATGATGCAAAAGAATGATCAAACGCTTGAGAAGATAGTAAAAAATTACGAGAAGGAACTGGAAGCTTTGAGAAAACTATATTCAAACCAAGGCGAGGATACTTGTGTGGAAGACATTGTAAGAGACTATGAAGAAAAAATCGATGATCTTAAAAGCAAAAACAAGGATGTCCACGATAATTACGACACACTGGCTAATAGAGTTGGTACTGACCTAGTACAAGATATTTTGGCCTCATTGCCTGATGAGAATCTTAAATCCGAGAACGAAATGGTTAAATCCGAGAACGAAATGGTTAAAGGAAACAACGCCAGTCAACTAAATGCACCACTTATCATGAAAAGAGATGTCGATTCATCTCTACAGGACGTTTTGGAATTATACGAGAAAGCTTTAGGACTCTTTCCGAGCTATCCAAATGACGAGAACTTTGTTAATGTCAAGATGCGTACATTCGATGACCTTAAGAGAGAAAATGAGATTTTAAAAAGAGCAATCGGAGATCAGGAGGCCACGGACCTGAGCCTAACGGCCAAAGAAGAAACTCAAGCCACACCTATCACGAAACTTAAGCCCGAATCTTTGAAAACCACAGACCGCTCAAGTAAGGATGGCTGGGATGACAAATTCGTTTCTCTTGAAGAAGAGAGATCTCAAGTTCCTAAACTTATGCAAGACGAAGATCCAACAATCACAAATGTCTTAAATGAGAAAGAGAAAGAGAAAGAGGTGGAAACAGTGCAAAAACTACCTACTGGTCAGACAGAGGAGAGAGTCTCAATAAGGGAGCCGATGAAGGACCTCGAGGATAGCAATAAAGAATTGGAAAACGAGAAGAGAAAGCTTCTAGAGATGTTGCATCACCTCGAAAATCAAATCGGACCTAACCTAACGGATGACCTACAAAATATAAATAAAAGTGACAAAGAGTCTGATGGGACTGATCTCGATGGCACGAAGCGTTCGCGTTTAGAGGCCCCTATTGTCATGAAAGGTGAAAACAGAACATTGGAAGACGTCCTGAGAAATTACGAGAAAGAATTAGAAGTCCTCCGAAAAATGGTCCCAGACCAAGGAGGGGAGGGGGGTACCATATCAGGTATCGTGAAAGACTATGAGGACAAACTTGAAAGCCTCGCCAATAGAAACAATAGTCTCAAGGATAGGTTGCGAGAACTTCGGGGAAAAATTGGTGATGAACTATTTGAAGACCTTCAACCAGAGGTTCACAACCTTGAAGGAATGGACGAGGGAGAGACCACCGAGAAAGAGGAAAATGATCAGATGAAGACAAAGAGAGCCCTGAAGGCCATTGAAATATTGAATGAATCTCAAAAGCCGTTAGAAGATATTGTGGCAAGGTATGAAAAAGGTCTTGAGGAACTTATAAGAGAAAACAAAGTATATAAGGATGGTATCGGTAAAGATTTGGCGGAGGCTTTATTGGTAATGGCAGAAGAGGAGGACTGTCTTTCGTGTAATAAATTTGATGCAAACGAACTGGAAGCTCGTTTTCTTCCAACTGAAGATTTGTCAAACAAACGTAGGCCCACTAGTGAAAATCAAGATGTGAGAAAGAAAACGGATACATACACAAAGGACACACACCAGCCATTACGAAGCGAACTTGACAAAGATGATACAAAAACAGGGTCGGATGATTTAAAAGCTATTTCTCTTCTCAGAGACGAAGGATTGACTCTTGAAGCCATTTTAAAAAGATACGAAAAAGAATTGGATGCACTCGGACAAATTACTATCGGAGAAAACGAAGATGACGTTAACGTGGCTGACCTAATTGCAAATTTCCAAAATACCATCGAAAAATTAGAAGACAAAGAAAAGATCTTAATGAAAAAGTTGCAGCATTTCGAAGACACGGTCGGTGCAGACCTTTATTCCTCGTTGGACAGTTTTAAGAAGGAAAGAGAAAAAGACGATCAGAAAGATGATTCTTGCGATGAGGAAATGGACATTAGCGTTATTAATCTGATGAAATGTGAGGGGAAAAACTTAGAAGACGTCATAAAAAACTACGAAAAAGAGCTGTTGGCATTAAGGAAGCTGATGCCTGGTGAAGATAATGAAATAGCTGACATTGTCAAAGAGTACGAAGGGAAAATCAAAGACCTACAGGGAAAAAACAAGGATCTGACACATATCCTTGATAATCTTGAAGACAATATCGGAAGCAGTCTTTTTGAAGACCTCAAAGGAGCAAAGAGGCCTTTAGATGGTACAGAAAAGACAAGTAAGGAGCAAGAAAGTCCCAAGAAGCTGCAGACAAAGAATAGGAGGGTATTCCCCTTGGAAAAGCAGTTAGAGTTTTATGAACAAGATCTGGATGAAAAGGAAAACGAAAATAAAACTTTGAAGGCCTCTGTTGGGCCAAGGCTTGCCAATTTTCTGTTAAATTTAGCGGCAGAAAAGAAGACACCATTGTTAATTGATTCAGAAGAGCAATGTGCGGTCGACAGTATAGACAGCAAAGAGCCATTTACTTCGATGTCACTGGAAAAAGGATCAGACCGGGTGTTTCAGTCATTTGACAACAATAACAACGATAAAGAGGACATCAGCTCAATTCCTGGCTCTGATTATTTGAAAGCTCAGTCACTCATAAGAGATGAAGGCAAGACTGTAGAATATGTATTGGGAAAGTACGAAAAGGAGCTGGGAACAGTATCAAAAAAACTATCCTCTGACGAGGGAGTATCGTTTCTTGACGTGGCCACAGACTGTGAAGAAAAGATCATTAAACTGGAAAAAGAAAACGACCACTTGTTAAGCAGGCTGAAGGACATAGAGCTGAGAATTGGAACCGCCCTTTTAGATAAAATAGAGGGGGGTGAGCAAGAGAAAGACTCAGTTCTTCAAAATGAAAAAAATGAAGACGATGATATGGCGAATACTTTAAAGGCTCCAGAGATTATGCAGAGTGAGGGAAAAACTCTAGAAAATGTAATTAACAGGTATGAAAAGGAGCTCACTGCCCTAAGGAGTCTCGTACCAAGTGACGGAGAGGAAGTAGGTTCTATAGCCGACATCATTAAATCCTACGAAGATAAGGTTGACCAGCTAAGAGCAGAAAGTGAGAGGCAGAGACTTGACTCAGACAGACTGATACAACGGATTGGGCCCAAACTTGTTGGAGATATTAAAAAACTGAACGAAATTAGTAGTGAGGAAACCGATGGTGACATGCAAGAAGATAAGAGCTCAGACCTCAGGTCAGAAAAACAAGACAAAGATCTAAAGGTAACCAAGATCATGGATGTAAAGAAGTCAACTTTGGAAGATGTTTTAGAAACCTACGAGAGTGCCCTTGGAGCTCTCTTAAGTGATGCCTTACCATTCTCCGATGAATTAAACGAAGGGAATATCATGGCTGATTACAACAGCCCCATCGAGAAATTAAAGGAAGAAAACGAAATTCTGAAATGTCGCATCGGTCCAACTCTGTCAAAACGACTATTAGGTATCACAAAGGACGATAACTGCGGTGCTCGCAATAATGAAAACGAAGACGGAGAAACTGTGGAAACAAAAGACCCCTATGTGGACAAGAGCAGATTTTCGAAGAGCTCAACATATCAAAGGAGGCCTCAAAGTAATGTTTTGTCGCCAGAAGAACTAAAAGCTGAAATTTTCATTGAGGAGGAAGGACAAACGATAGAAGACATCTTGAAAAATTACGAGAAGGAGCTAGAAGTTCTGAAGTCCCTTGTTCCCGTCCAACCGGGAAAATCAGTTGAGTCTATCTCTGATCTGGTGCTAAAATATGAGCGCGAGATCGATGCCTTAAAAAATGAGGGTAGCAATCTAACCAATCGTTTAGGGTTCTTAGAGGAAAAACTCGGTCCAGATCTCATGGTTGACGTGGAAAATCAAAATTTGTCGAAGAGGGCTGAAAATGACGACAGTTTTCAAGAGCTAAGGAAAAGTGAGCTTCAGGCTCCAAAGATTATGGCAGAGGAACAAAAATCATTAGAGACTGTTGTAAGTTGTTACGAGAAAGAACTCGATGCCCTTCATAAATTAGTCTCTGACCAAGAGGACAGCCAACAAGTGTCAATTTCAGACATCATCAAGGACTACGAAGATCAACTCAATGAATTTAGAACCGAGATTAAGGATCTGAAACTAAATTCCAGCGCCTTAAATGACAGACTCGGTATCAATCTGGTTCGAGAAATTGAGGGGCTATTCGACGAAGGGGTAGACAGGGATGAATCTTCCGACGCTGCACGCAACCCTGGACAGAAAAAAGAAGCTTCCGAATTAGAGAAACAGCTTAAAGCACCCAAAATAATGCATAAGGACAATAAAACACTAGAAAGTGTTCTTGCAACTTACGAGGATGCACTTGGACTTTATATCATTACTGCCGGTTCTCCGAACGAAGACTTGCACGAAGCAGATGATATAGACACTCACTTGCGGAATTACAAGGCCCTTAAAGAAGAAAACGAAGTCTTGATTGGTGCACTAGGGGAGAACCTGACCCGGGACATAGTGGATGCGGCACCGACGGACCACCTTAGTTCCCAGGACAAAGTTCTAACTAAATCAGAGGAGAAATGTAGAACACCCTCCACCACGGAAAGACTAGACGGGCGGCCTTTAGAAATGAAGGCCAAGGCTCTGATGAGAGACAATGGAAACACTATTGAAGATATTTTGAAGAAATATGAAGAGGATATTGAAGCTCTCTCGAAGCTAGTTCCATACGGGACTGGCGGCAGCTCTTTGATTTCAGAACTTGTGAAAGACTACGAGGGGAAGTTGGAAAATTTGCAAATCGAGAATAGGAGCCTAGAAAACCAGTTGAAAAGCCTGAGAAAGAGTATTGGTCAAGATCTTGCGAGAGACCTGGAAAATCCAGTGCTGGAGGTGGAGAAGGGAGGAAAAGATTTAAAAGCTCCCTTGATAATGCAGGAAGAGGGAAAATCTTTAGAGAACATCTTGAGAAAATATGAAAGAGAACTGAGAGCGTTCCGAGAAGCTGATCCAGGTCAAGAGGAAAACACGCCCACGATAACGAGTATAGTCAATGAATATGAAGACAAAATTGAAGAATTGAAAACCCAATATGAAAGCTTGAAGGAAGAATCCAGCTCTCTTAAAGAAAGCATTGGTCTGGAACTTGCAAAGGACGTCATGTCAGTGAAGGTTGAATTAAACTCCCCCGAGGAAGGGCACAGATCAATCAAAACACCAAAGTATAAAGCTACCAAAATCATGCAAGAAAAGGAAACAACCTTAGAAGATGTTCTGGAGTCATACGAAGCAATGTTAACTACAGAATCTGGTGATGTTGAATTTTCAAGCGCTGAAAAATGGGAAATTTTGAGAGAAAAAGTTGGATCTGAGCTCGTAAACGAATTGTTGCTTCCTCCAAAAGAGACTGTGGGAATTAAACAAAAGTGGGAAGCAGTCATAAGATTAAAGGAAGAGAACACAACCCTTGCAGATATTTTAGAGACCTATGAATCGGAGCTGGAGAGATTAACGAGAGAAAAGAATGCGATTGAGGCGCTAGTCAAAGACGATGAAAATGATGGTCAATCTGCTCTCGACGTAATTTCACAATATGAAGATGAAATCGAACATTTAAAGAACAAGAATATAGAAATGGAAAATAAATTGTCCACATTGATCGCAAGAATGGGAGATAACTTGGTCAACGACATTCTCAGATTGAGCTTTAAGGAGAAAACGAAGTTAAAGCCGCCAATAAAAGCACTCAAGATGATGGAAGATGAAGAAAAGCAACTTTCAACCATTATGCAGGAATACGAAAATGAGATTGGAAAATTGTCAAGAGAGAATGAAACTCTCAAGACGATCGCCAACACAGAACATGGGATTGACAATGGTGATTCGATAACAAATCTTGTCACAAATTACGAAATGAAAATTCAAGAACTTGTCCAAGAAAAACAGGATATTGAAACGAACCTTGGTGTGTTAGCTGATGGGGTAGGACGAGACGTGGCGAACGAAATCTTAAACCCTAGTGAAGCAGAAGAAATATTACCTCTAAATGCTCTTAGAATAATGAATAACGAGCAAAAAACCCTGGCTGAGGTTACAAAACAATACGAGAACAGTCTCGAGAGTTTGAAGAGAGAAATTTCTGCCATGCGTAATCTTGTTTCCGAGGACACAGAAAAGTTATCACTTGCAGACAAGATATCAGAATATGAAGATGAGATTTCAAACTTGAAAAACAAAGTTCGAGAACAAACTCTGTTGGAAAAGAAGATCGGGATGGACTTGGTGCAACAGCTTAAAACACTCGGCAAAAATAGAGCTGAAGGGATCGTCCTCAGGGCAGTGGAGGTCATGGAGAGAAAAAACGATACATCCCTCGAGGATATTTTAAAAGACTACGAAAACGAACTAAAGGAGAAGGATCACGAAATCTTAACGCTTAAGGAACTGGTGTCCGGTGACATACTATCGATTGCTACATCCCAAGAAAGTGAAATAGATGAACTCAAGACCGTAAATAAGATCCTTGCCAATGAGCTTGACGTGATATCTGATAAAGTTGGTAGGGAACTTGTTAATGAAATATTGAACACATCGAATAAAACACCGACATCGCAAAGCAACCACGTTTACCATAATGCAGTCCGACGAATGGAAGATGAAGGAAAGTCACTCGCAGATGTTTTAGACGAATACGAAAAGGAAATCGAAGCAAAGCATAATGAAAACGAGGAGCTCACCAAGAAAGAAGGTACACTTACAAAACTCTACCATCAAGTCGGGAGCGATCTCTTTAATGAGATTTTGATGGACAATCTCTCCGAGAGCTCTTGCACCGACAAACAGCCTCTTTTTGAAGCCTCGGCATTGATGGCGGAGAAAGAGGAGACCTTGGGAGAGGTTATTCTCGGTTATGAAAGAGAGTTAGACAAAGTTAAAAGGGAAAACGGCGCCCTTCGTGCATTGACAGAGACGGAAGGTTTGGCCAATAGTTCAGCCATTGAATTTTTTTCAGAATATGAGGAGAAAATTCAAAAACTAAGCACTGAGAATCTGGAGTCCAACAAAAGGCTGCAAAAACTAACTCTCACGGTGGGAGTGGAATTGGCTGAACAATTGCTGAAGTTACCGCACGGAGTAAAAAACGTTCCCCAGGATCCTATTAATGACTTGCAGGCGTTGAAAACTGTCAAGGAAAATCAAGTCACATTAGCTAATGTTCTGCAAAACTACGAAAATAGACTAAAAGAAGACGAAAATGTTGGCACTGGTCCATTGGTGTTCAGAACGGCTCTGACAGAGGAAGTAAAATTTGCTCAGTTAGTTCGTGTTGACGAAAAGGAGCCAATAATTACCATTTCAGAAGGTGAAAGAAACCCAAAATCTCCGTACCTGAAAGCTGAGGAAACGTTCACCTTGGAGAAGGGAACAGAACGCGAGGAAATTCAATCAAGCGACCAAAACCAGATTCCATCAGTCGTTAGTGAGAACGAAGCTTTACGCGTCAAATTGAGACGGCTATCTAAGAGAGTGGGAGCAGAACTTGCGGAGGAACTGATGAGGTCATTAGAGGACGAAAGTAATGATATGAACGCCGCAGTCACTTTTGCTTCTGTTAGGGAGCTTGATGCCTTTGATGACGTTGTCACAGAGAGAGCGACATTAGCCCAGGTGTTGGAAAGCTATGAAATGCAATTGAAAAAATCACGTCAGGTCGAAGTAGGTGATTTGAGTGGGCCTGTGGTCGAAAGTCACATTTCTACCGAGGATTTAACACGTGTTAACTCGAAGCCCACTGACCAAAGCGCGAATGCGAATTTAACTATGCCAAGCGGTCGACTTTTAGAGGAAGTCTGTCAAATTAATGACCACGACGATTTTAACCATTACGAGGTTCCCGATCGTGATAGTGCAAACTCGGTAGCAAGTGAAGAGAAAACAAGCGCTAGTGATCAACAAAAGGACACGGACAACCGTGAAACGGCAGATTTGTGTGATATGGATATCAGTGCGCTAGAAAACCTTATTCCGAAGGAACCAAAAATCATGATACCCAACGAAGAATCTCTGCTACCATTACAAGTTCAAGAAGTCATAAACGAGGAAATCGTAAGCGTGGAGAGATCAAGGCAAGTGGAGCATTTCAATCTCGAGTACATGGATGAAATATTTAGTGATAGTTTACCCGAGAAAAATAAAGCCGTTCAGAGTGAAGTTCCAATCTCAAATTGGTCTGAAAAGTATTTAGCAGAAGCAAAAGTAGCCACAGAAAGTGGAAATGAAGAAGACGATTTGGATTGTTTGCAAAATAGAATAAAGGAGTTAGGGAGAGAGCTTGAGGAAGTAACTATTTTAAAAGAGAAATACGAAAAAGATGTCCAAGATTTGCTTCAAGACATTGTTGATCTGAAAATGAAGCAGGCAGGCGATGACGAAGGTGAAACGCCAGAGGAGACGCGGAAAAGGATTAAAGAAGAAATGGAGTTGAAGCAGGACAACAAACAACTTCAAGAAGACTTAAAAAGGGAAAAGAAGAGAAGATTGTCCATTGAAGAAAGCAAAAGGGATTTGCTTGATGAGCTAAACAGCTTGATGAGAGAGAAGGAACTTCTCCTTAAACAACAAAGTGACGACAAAGAAAACGGAAAATTATTAGAAGATATGATCAGCTTAAGGAAGAAGCTCGGAGAATTCGACACAGAAAACAAACGTTTAAAGAAAGAAGTTAAGGAACTAAAAGAAGCATTAAGCGAGGTAATTGTCACTCACGATGAAGAAAAAGAGAGAGTGTTGGAAGAGTGTGAAAAAGAGAAGTCAGAGATGATGGAAGAGCTGGTGGCCTCTAAACGTGAGCTCGAGTCCCAGCTTCAAGAGTTGTTTGCCATGAATGATGACCTTAAAGGAACTATTAGCAACCTTCAAGAGGAACTGAAAGAATCAAGTGAAAGGTTCTCCACAGAAATTGATGTTCCAAACGAAAATATCGAAAGTGGAACCTCAAAAGGTGTCAGTCACGAAGACAATGGCTTGTTATCACAAACATTAAAACAAGAAGGGGGAGATCAGGAAACAAAACAAGGAAAGAGTCCATCAACGGAGTTACAAAATCTCGCAGAACAATGGAAGACAGAAAGAGATGAACTGCAAGAAATGTTCAAGGTAGAAAAAGAAAGGCTACAAAAAACGTTTGATGATGAATTGAAGAGAAAGCTAGCTGAAAATGACGAGCAACACAAACAGAGAAATGAAGAAATGGCGACGGAAATAAATCGAAAGTTTTCTATAGAGAAAAAGGAAATAAAGGCGTCTGTTGAGAAGAAGATATACGAACAATTTCTTGAAAAAAATATAGCAGCAGAAACCGACTTCCATGAAATTCTTTCTAAGATCTTACAAGAACACTCTAAAGAAATAGAAAACGTTGAGATTGATATACTGAAAGCAGAGGAAAGATTCCAGGAAGATAAAAATAAATTGTTAGAACAAAACGATAGTGAAAAAGAAGCCCTGAAGAAGATGCACGAGGAAGAAAAGAAGGCTCTTGAATCAACTATTCAAAACCTTCTTAAAGAGGTAGTGAAATTGAAACAGCAAAGAAAAGAAATTAGACTGATACACAAGAAAGAGAAAGAAACTATGGAAGAAATTTACGAACGGGATAGGATAAAGCTCAAGGAAGACTGGGAACTATACAAAAGAGACTTATTGAGCAATCTTCAAGAAGACTTCGACAGCAAGTTGGCAAACGAGACGCAGAAGCATGAGACAAATTTGGAGGATTTCAAAGAGCAGTTGGAAAAATCCGAACAGAGGAGAAAAGAACTAGAAGATCGTCTCAAAGGACGTGCCATCGATAGTGACAAGGCAAAAGTCTATGAGGATGAAAAAGGTGTTAGGAGTGGCCAAGAGGACGAGGCTTATGGAAAGGAACTGAGGTCCGTAAAGAAAACCTTAGAGGAAGAATATGATAAGAAACTGAAAGAGGAGAAACGTAAGTTTGAAGAAACACTGCAGGGCTTAAGGCGAGAAATTGGAAACCTGCAAGAAAAGCGACGACTTATTCAAGATAAGATATACAACCAGGATCCTTCCCTTGTAGACAGGAATTTGGTAGAGAAAAGCATTGCTAATTACAAGATGGAGATACTGTCTAAAATGGAAGAAGAAGTTGCACAAAAAATAGCTCGAGAGAAAAAGTCTCTTGAGGAGACAATCAGTGAACAACAGTTAGAAATCGATGAACTGAAGAGGCAACGCTGGGAGCTGAGGAACCAGTTGAGGCGAGATCGTAGCAGGTTAGAAGAAGAGTTTGAACTAGAAAAGGAAAGAATGGAAAACCAGTTCTTAAAGGAAAAGGAAGACCTGAAGAACAAGCTTGAGGCAAGATTACAACGGGAGATGACAAAGAGGACAGAAAAAGTCAATAGGGCAATAAGTCCCATCTTTACCGTGAGTATCACGACGATAATTATTCATTAAAGGAGCCACCGCTTAAAAATAAATTTAAATCCAAGTCAGAAAAATAATATTAAACTAACATGCTTTTTTGGTTCAAAACTTCGAACCTTTATTATTGTAACGCTTGATTTAATTTGAATCACCCCTAGCGCTCGCCAAACCTTTTATCTTTTTCTTTAGGAATCCCCTTACAGCCCACAAGACTCCCCTAGGAGGCTGAGATCGGAAAATTTGGCCCTCAGAGACGACAATCAACGCTTGGAGCTAGAAATGAGGCAATTAACGAGCCAACTGCAAACCTTGGAATCCAACTTTCAAGAAATCATGTCTTCAGAAAGGACGAAGGTATGAAACACTGGAAAAATAAACAGAAAATTAGTTTAATGCCAAACTAAAAGAGAGATTGCATGCAAGCCAGGCCTTCATTGTGCCAAGGCTTTCAAGGTACCTCAATGTTAATTGCAATGTAACTGAGGCCATAATATCTTAAATGTATCTTGCTTTATCTTATTTGAAGCCTCTTAAGTTTAGATTTGGTTTTTCGTGGTATATGATATCATCATAAGTTTAACTCTGTGTTATTTACCCTATAATGATGTTGGCATATACTTAGAATAAACAGATTTATCACAGTAATAGAAAATGGTGCGCTTTACAGGTTGAAAAAATGAAGAGAATTCAAGAAAGAATGCCCAAGAAGGTTAGTAAGACGATACACAGAAAAACGGCATCAAAAGAGGGAGTGTATTTCAGAATTTCACATATCAAACTTTGCCAATTATTATGGTATAATTCGTTTTAGGAAAATGGCTCTATTTTTCGTTATCCTACGGGACATTTCCACAGGATCGTTTAAATCGCACTGAGCAGGTGCAGACGTTTTTGGTGTAACAACTTTTGCTTAGGGTAGTATTGCGAACAGATTTCCGAAAGCGAAGCGCGACAAAAACTGTCAGGTTTGAGGAACAGATAATGTCCAGTGAAAAAAAATAAGCATATTTTCGCGCGCAAAAGAAGCTATTGTGTTTATTATCACTTAAATATTTTGCAAAGGGCATGAAAACATGTTTACGAACAGTTTACTGTTTGATGCGTGGCGTGTTTACTTTTGAGTGTTCCCTGGTAGAACTTTACGAACAAAAAAGTTCCCCTTCTTCTGTAACAACTACAAAACTCTCTCTCATCTTAACTTTAATTTTAAACGAAGGGTTATCGTAGTGAACGTAAGGTTTGAAAATCGGGGAATACCACTTGAATGATATCCCTAGTTTTAGGTAGGGAATATTCAGTCACGGGATGCGTTAAGACAAATCGCACGCGAGCAAAAATATTTGATGTATAACTATTACCTCTATGGTGAATAACTGTTAATTATCATCACAGTCATGTTCAAAGGATATCCTCTGGTTAAGAAAATACGTCTCCCATAATCTAATGTTTAAATTCAAAATCTCATCGCCATCTCAAACAAAAAACTACGTGCTGACAAGTGATCATTTACCATCGTCATAAATATAATGGTCTCATGATTTTTTTTTTTATGACCGAAGGGGAGGGGTGGTGCGGTAAGGAACATGCGGTGCGGTAAGGATGTGATCAATGTTGTTGTTCTCCTCTTACAGGTTACCTTCTCAGACGAGATAGAAACAAGGAGCTTGGGTGACACCGCTAGTGATCCTAACGAAACTGTGCTGCAAGAACTACGCCACAGAGATTCTCAAGTCAGAGAATTGTTGGAACAAAAACACTTTTATGAGGAAGTTCTGTCTGAGCTCTGCGAAGAAGCTGGGCTCTTTGAACTTTACCAAAATGTTGTAATTTAACTGAAATAATATCGATATTTTACTTGTGGATGAAGGGCACAATTCTACATTGTATATATTTTAGTTGTGTGTTATTATATTGATCACCAGCTCGTAATTCCAGTGATATCGGAGCTAAGGTTATTTTACCAAATACTCAAACTTAGCTTTCATTTGGCAAAAAAGCAATGATAACTAAAATGTTTGTTATCTACTTCAAGGAAGATACACTTGTTTTGCTGAAATCGCACCTGTGTGCAAGTATTTGTTATAAAATGCGAGTATACAATTTTTTGTTAAATTGCTAGACGTGCAACCTAACCAAAATAAATAGTACCGTTAACGTGAAACCTGTAGCGCGAGCAACTGAAAATTGTAACCATGCTTAGTTGTACATTGTGCTTTCATTAGTTTTTACCTTTAAAAAAAATTATTCCAGAATTGACACTAAAAAGGAAAAAGGAAAGACACAGAAACTAATTAATCCTAAAATTTATGCTGAAATTTGTTTTCGATAAAAAGTGACAATTTGTAAGCAGCTTATTTCACGATAATAATTAAAAATAAAATTATCTTATCTTTTATCATAAGCAGTCTTGTAATATTCAAATCCTTAATTAGTTTGGTTTGAGTCAGACCTGTATAATGTGTATCATACACTAATGTGAAGAAATAGTGGACTAGGTGTAAGTAGCGTATAGGTTTTTAGTCGTTTGATTAAATTGGTGTCAAATAAAGTTCATTTAAGCAAACTGAGGACGATTATTGTGAAGCAGTTGAAAAAATCTTGACGGAACAGATCAAAACTTCGCCGCCAAAAGTGCAGCTTTTTGTTTTGTTTTGAGGTAAACAATACAGTCGTACATGTTAGGGATCTGAAAAGTGTTCTTTAAATCTTGAATGCTCTTGAAGGTTTTTTAATTTGTCACAAAATCGATCGTCATGCCTGTTGATGTAAATCTACAGGGAAAAAGTAACAAACAGGTACAAAAAAATGAACACAACAGTTAGCTCTAAGTGTTTAAGCGAATTAACGCGAGAGCCACACTGATTAATTAAAGGGTATACAAGATGCAATGAATGTCAACCCAATTGGAATCTAGAGGGGAAAGGGAAAAATAAGTGAAAATTATTGAAAGACGTTGAGCAAAAGTCTTGATTTCACGGCAAAGAACACGCCACTAACAGAGTTCAACTATTGTTTGTTCAGTCGACTACTGAATGATTTTCCTTATAATATTTCTTGAAAACCATTCCATCTGGTTCACTTTCCGCCAAAGAGCGGGAACACAATTAAGCACAAACTCAATAATTACAGTTAGACGGTATTTCTAATTAGCAAAAAAGATGATTTGTATGCAACAATTTTCAGGTTATACGGTAGGTTCTTACGCATTAAAAGGAAAGGGGAAAGAATGCAATGAGTTACATTGATTATTGTCGACCAGTTGCCAAGATGAAGTAGGTTTCACTTGAAAAAAAATTGCACGAAGTGTTGAATGAACTAGGACTCCCATATAGCATTGTGGTTTGTACCTGTCGTCCAATTTTTTGATGGGATAATAAGAGACGCTTCTGAATAATTTACTAGTATACGACAAAATTAGGGAGAACTTTCTATTGACAAATCTTTGGGCTTTTAAAACGTGACAAATGCCAACTTTGAACCAATAGCTTTCAACTTACAAATGGCAACAAATTTTGATAAGGAAAACAAGGTTTAAAGTAAGGTGAAATAACTGAAAGCACGCTACTTTTGATTGTGCATTCTGCCATATTGTACTGAAATTCTCTTACGGCAGCTTTTGAATTTGGCAATAAAATAAAGACTTATTTAGGAACTTAACATTAAATTACTTATTATCTGTCTCTAATGACGCATTCTTTTAGATGATTTTCCCATTGATCTGTGTTTATCAAGAACCTGCAAAGTTGACTTAAAATCTTAAGGTACCCGCAAGCATTCAAAACCATCGGAATAACAACAAAAACATTCCATATTTCAGTTTGCTTACATAGCAACATATCAACTTTGCGCTGGTGGAATGTTAATCTTACCATTACATTAAAAAGTTTATCAACACTTCACTCAAAGAAAAGGTCGCCGGAGTTAACTCTCTCTTCAACCTCTTCAACTTTCTTACGATTTAAGTACAATCCGAAATGGTGCCAATAAGTGAATCGACGGTAAATTAAATAATCCATACGAAGATCTAAAACAAAGCACTGTCTATCCCAACTGCTGTGAATCTTTTTCTTGTGGTAGATATGTTTTAAAAACATGAGAGAAAGATGGTAGACAAAACCATACAGGTGATGCAAGCCGAAAACAATTCTTCTGAACGGAATTTGCATGAGAAGGCATCCACGGAAACAGCGAGTTCATCAAAAGAAGGATCCGCTAAAATTACTCCTCAAAAGTGTTTCAAATGGAGGGTCAAATGGTAGGGGGCCAGATTGAGATTCAAAACGGTGGATACGTCGAGATGACGTCTGAAATGTTAGGTGTAAATATGGAATCTCAAATGCAACTTCAGATGATGAGCGAGCAACAGTTGGACTCAGTGAATGGTGAAGGAATGACAGTCATAATAGGATCACAGGAACTTGATGGACAGCAGTTTAATATTCAAAATGGGGTCCAGTATCAAGTAATAGACGGACAACAAGTAGTAGTAGGAGATACTTCGGTACAAATGCAAATGTCTATGTCATCGTCCAGAGAATATGGCGGCCAGAATTCCCAGACTGAGGGGGGCATGATACAAGGAACAGAGATAGTATACGGTTCAACACAAGCAACAGATATGACAGCCGATGGGATGAATGGTTCTGTAATGCAATCCCAAGAGATTGCACTTGACAGCAATGGCCAAATGATTCAAATGGAAGGAATGTCAATGGGACAAAGCGGAATGACGCAAGAAATGTCTTTTGAAGCGACTGAACAACAAATGCAGATGCAGGAAATGTCCATGCAGGAAATGTCTTTGCAAGATATGTCAATGACTATGGAAGGAGTGACTATAGAAGGAATGACTATGCAAGGAGGAATGGCTATGGAAGGAATGACGACTGTAATGCAATCCCAAGAGATTGCACTTGACAGCAATGGCCAAATGATTCAAATGGAAGGAATGTCAATGGGACAAAGCGGAATGATGCAAGAAGTGTCTTTTGAAGCGACTGAACAACAAATGCAGATGCAGGAAATGTCCATACAGGGAATGTCTTTGCAAGATATATCAATGACTATGGAAGGAATGACTATAGAAGGAATGACTTTGCAAGGAGGTATGGCTATGGAAGGAATGACGATAGAGGGAGGAATGACAATAGAAGGAATGACTATGGAAGGTGGAATGACTGTAGAAGGAATGACTATGGAAGGTGGAATGGCTATAGAAGGAATGTCGATGCAAGAAATGAATATGCAAGAGATGCCCCTAGAAATGCAAAGTCAGGAGATACAAAATCAAGAGATTGCATTTGAAGGAGGCGAGATCCAGGAACAGCAACTTGAGATGAGTGAGATGACTATGCAAGGAATGCCATTGGAGATAAGTGGAGGAGAAATGCAGACGCAAGAATTCTCAGTGCAAGAAATGGGAATAGTTATGCAAAGTCAAGAAATAGAATTAACGGGAGGAGGGAACGAGCAGCAATTGGAGATGAATGCTATGACAATACAAGAAATGTCAGCTGTGGACGGTGAGTACCAAATTGAAACGAGTGAACTGACGGTACAAGAGATTCCACTGGATATGGTCGGGGGTGAGACCCAGATACTGGAAATGTCAATGCAGGAAATGCCTTTGGAAATGCAAAGTCAAGAGATATTAGCCGTGGACGGTGAGTACCAAATTGGAATGAGTGAAATGACGATACAAGAAATACCACTGGATATGGCTGCAGGAGAAACCCAAATTGTGGAAATGTCTATGCAGGAAATGCCTTTGGAAATGCAAAGTCAAGAGATATTAACTGTGGACGGTGAGTACCAAATTGGAATGAGTGAAATGACGATACAAGAAATACCACTGGATATGGCTGGAGGAGAAACTCAGATAATGGAAATGTCCACGCAGGAAATGCCACTGGAGATGCAAAGTCAAGAAATTTCCATTGTAGGAGAAGCCGAAATCCAAGAACAGCAATTTGAGATGAATGAAATGACAATTCAAGAAATACCACTGGATATGGCTGGAGGAGAAACTCAGATAGTGGAAATGTCCATGCAGGAAATGCCACTGGAGATGCAAAGTCAAGAAATTTCCACTGTAGGAGAAGCCGAAATCCAAGAACAGCAATTTGAGATGAATGAAATGACCATTCAAGAAATACCACTTGATATGGCCGTGGGAGAAACTCAAACTTTGGAAATGTCTATGGAGGAAATGCCCTTGGAGATACAAAGCCAAGAAATTTCCGTTGTGGAAGGGGACGAGATCCAAGAACAGCAATTTGAGATGAGTGAAATGACGATTCAAGAATTACCATTGGATACGGCTGGGGGAGAAACTCAAACATTGGAAATGTCTATGGAAAAAATGCCCTTGGAGATACAGAGTCAAGAAATTTCCGTTCTAGAAGGAAGCGAGACTCAAGAACAACAATTGGACATAAGTGAAATGACTATACAAGAAATGCCGTTGGATATGGCTGGGGGAGATATACAGACACAAGAAATGTCAATTCAGGAAATGTCTTTGGAGATGCAAAGCCAAGACATTTCCGTTGTAGAAGGGGGCGAGATCCAAGATCAGCAGTTTGAGATGAGTGAAATGACTATACAAGAAATACCACTGGATATGGACGAGGGAGAAAATGAAATATTGGAAATGTCTATGCCTTTGGAGATGCAAAGCCAAGAAGTCTCAGTTGTGGAAGGGGGTGAGATGCAAGAGCAGCAGTTTGAGATGAGTGAGATGACTATACAAGAAATGCCGCTGGATATGGCTAGTGGAGATGTAATGTCACAAGAATTGTCTATGCAGGAAATGCCTTTGGAGATGCAAAGCCAAGAAATCTCGGATGTGGAAGGGGGTGAGATGCAGGAGCAGCTGTTTGAGATGAGTGAGATGACTATACAGGAAATGCCGCTGGATGTGACTAGTGGAGATGTTCAGACTCAGGAAATGTCTTTGCATGAACTACCACTGGAGAAGCAAAGTCAAGTAGTTTCCGTCGTGGAAGAGGGAAAAATTAAAGCAGAGCAGTTAGAAACCACAGTACAAGAAAAGCCATTAGAACAGAACAATGTCAGGAAAGTTACTGAAAGTCAGAAACAAGTCCGGTTGGATAATAGTCTCAATCAAGAGGAGCAAGCTCCTGTTGAACAGACAGCTGAAGAAGAAGCTGTATCGAATATTGGAGAATCCAGCTGGAGTATAGAGGTAATAGGAACGTTAGAGGAACAAGAGCTGGAACGAAGTTGGAGCATGGAAGTAGTTGGAACAATTGATGACCAGGAAAATGACAAAAGTTGGAGTACAGGAGAAGAAAGCCAGATATCCTCCAACGGACTAACCCAAGAAACAGTTTCGAAAGACGTTAGTCAGGAAAATGAAAAGCCCGTCGAGAAGAAGCAACACAATCAGGTGAAACCTGAAGAGGTGCGGTCTATCGATGACGTTGCATCAGTTATTGACAACAGCAAGAGCGAAGAAACGAAGTCTCACGGAGGTGATAAAAAGGTTGGTGGCAAAAAAACCACGTCAGACCAAACTGAGGTAACACAGAAAGAGACCTGTGATCACAACATAGTGATAGAACAATTTCTGGAAAGGATTACCAAACTTGAAAAAGAGAAAGAGTATTTGGAAGGACGTTACGACGAACTACGACAAGAGAGGGAAACTTTGGTGATATCAAGTAGGGAAAGGATGCAAAAGACGGAAGATCATCACCATTGTTGCGATATATTGAAAGACTATAGTAGCTTGATCGAGTACATCACTACTCCGAGGGATGTCTCTTTACAGGATCATAGTAATTTACATGGATGTGATTTTACCCATACTTACGACGTTCATGAAAGTGTTAGAGAGATTAGTAGGAATTCAAGCCAACTGTCTAATGACTATGAGTACTATAAATCCAAGTGCGATCAAATAAAACGTGAAAAGGAACGCCTGGAGAGAGCTTATGAAAACGAAAAGAAGCAGAAAGAGGAGTTTGAAAGGGAATACCAAACTGAAAACGACGAAAAGGTTTACCTCGAAGAAAGGTACCAAGAAATGTTGGAGAGCATAAATCGATTTGATGAAACCATTCGTTCCCTGAGACGTGACAATGAATGCTTACAGAGCAAACTAAACGAGTGGGCGTCATCTCAAGCTAGGACAAACACACTGGACATGGGCACGCTCACATCAGATCGAGATGACGATGGTGAAGATCTTGCGGAATATAAGAAAAATATTCTTGCGTTAGAGAAAGAGAACAGAGAATTCAGGTCAATTCTTGACGTCTTAAGTAAAAAAAATGAAAGCCAAGAAAGTTTGAAGAACATTGAAATTGGACTAGCTCGAGAGAACGAATTTATTGAGTTAAAGCGAGAAAGAGTGAGGTTAGAGGGGAACATGAGAGAGTTGAAACGAACAAACAAGCATCAACAGAATAGGATAGAAGATATTCGAAAGGAATCGTCATTAGAGATTTCTAAATTGAAAGATAAAATCCGAAAATTGGAATGGTCTCTAAGAGAAAACAAAAAAACCCTAGATGATAAGGAAGACGAGATTTCTGGTCTGAAAAAACGACATTCAGAAGAACTTCGTAGCATTGATATGAGACTGCAGAGTCAGATTTCAAACACACTACTGGCAAAGAGCCAACTAAAGGATTTACAATCCAAAATAGAACGGCTGGAGGAAGAAAGGAACAGACTAAGAGAGGACTTGAGAAGTTCATTTGTGGGTAGCAGGGATCGACATTCAGGCGTAGACTTGGATTACCAGGATATTGAAATGGTGCGTCAAAAGTACGAAGAAGAAAAAAGAAGCAAGATGAGTCTTGCTAACGACATAAAGTATCTGCTTGCTGACATCACGGACCTTAAAGAAAGAAACCACAGACTACAGGAAGATTTTCTTCGAGAGAGAATGGAAATAAAAGCGATGATAGAAAAACAAGCCAATGAAATTACTCAAGAATATCTCTCACAGATCAGCAAATTGCAGAAATCACTGATAGATGAAACGAAACGAAGGCAGGAGGCCGAAGCTGGCAGAAATGGGCCGATATACAGCCACGAAAATCATACCACCTTTCCAGGTAATCAGACTGACGTGAATTCCAGAACTGGTCGGGGTGACGATGATATCCAGGTGCAGCTAACAAACGAGATAAGACGACGGGAAAACCTAGAAGCGGAGAATAAGAAACTCCTATATAAACTAAATGAAATTCTATCGGCTGATGGGAATCACGAAGGACTTGACGATGCTAATTTCAAATTGATCAGTTCGAGAGGAAATGAAACACACAATGTAGGGTCCTCAAAATATAACCAAGAAAGTGTTAAAAAACGGCAAGAACTGCAAAGTGAAATAAATGATCTTCATGATAAGCTAGAGGTGTTGAAAAACGAAGCTAAGAAGAACAAAGAACTCAAGAGGAAAAATGAAGATCTTGAGGAAGAAGTCGCTCGAGTGACTCGAAAGCGAGATGAACTCTTAGCTGGCCAGAGAAACCTCACTCGCGAAGTTGACCATTTGTCCCGCACCTTGGATGACGTGGAAAGGCGAAATAGGAAGCTTTCTGATGAAACTGAACGATTCACGCGGAAGATCCAAGATCTTGAAGATTCATTCCGTCAAGAAAAGATAACTTTGACAAGAAATCACGAGAATGAAAAGGTAAGCGCCGTAGAGGTAGTAGTAAAGGCAAAAGAAGCTTGCGAGAAAAGACTTCAGGCGCAAACAGAAACAACAAGAAGGCTGGAGGAGAAAATAAGACGCCTAGAAGAACAACTATCGGCAAGCGTTGGAACCCAAAGGGAGGGCTCCCGTACCACACTCAATTCGCATAACGGCGTTTCTGGAGATCTTAGGAGACGCACCACTGATTCACATGACGACAAATTAAAAGAAGAGGTGGAACATTTAGAGGCCATGTTAAGAGATGCTAATAGGAAGCATGCAGATGATCTCAAGAATCTTGAGGCACAAAAAAGACGGATGTCAGAAGAGTTTGAAAGAGAGCGGCAGTCTTTGGAAAACTACTTTGAGAAAGAGAATAGTAGCCTGAAACAAAGGCTCTACGACGTTGAGTCGACTATCCACGGTGAAGGTATGGGGATTATTGCCACGGGAGGAGAAAATAGAGAATACAATCTTATCACTTCAGAAAGGAGATCGTCGTTAAGCAAAGACAGAGCGAAAGAATTACCTCAATTTCAATCAAGGAACGAAAAATACAGCGAGAAATCCAAGGAAAGTGAGTTTCAGCAAAAACTTCAAGGGATGGAACAAAGATATAATGAAGAGAAGAGAGATATTTTGAATCGAGCATCAAAAGAGAAGGCAAAATTAGAGGACGAAGTAAGAGAGGCCAAGGAGAAATTAACCGGCTATCGCCGTTTACTCGAAGACGAAATCGACGACTTGAAAAGGAAGCATCGAAAAGAGATAGATTTCCTGAACGAAAAGTTATCGAAACAGAGAGGTGAGTTCGAGGAAAGACTTCGTATTGGAGAACGCAACGAATCAAGAGACGTGGTCGGCGGGTCAACCATTCGTGAAAACTCAAATCAATTTGATCCGATTAACATGACGCGAAGAGAAGATGGCGTGGGAAAGAACAAAGTTCCCAAAGCATTAGTTGGAACCTCGGGGACGCAGGAAGATAGATATCGCTTTGAAAAATTAGATATAACCCCTCACCAAGAACTCGGGAGTCTAAATAATTTTAGTTATAGGGACGGAAGGTCAACTACAATAACAGGCCGATATGCCTTGGAAGATGACAATAGAATTGGAAGAGGAAGAGCAACTGCTGAAGATGCCATGGGAGGAAGAGCTGGTTTAGAAAATGAAACTGTAATGTTTAGGGAGGAAACGAGAGATTACCAAAGCCAGTTGCAAAACGAAAAGAGGAAGCTGATGGAGGCCATACATTCTCTGACACAGGAGGTCAACTCTCTTAAAAGTGAGAATAGAGAAGTGAAGAACTGCTTCAAGAAAGAAATGGAAAAGCTTATCAAAATTAGCGACAGCGAAAAGAAAACCATTCGCGATAGAGCAGCAAGAGATAAAGACGACGAAGTAACACGGGTAACAGAAAGCTATGAAGAAAAATTGTCCTCTGAACGAAAAAGACTGCAAGGAATCATTGATGAATTTAGACGAAAGATTACATTAACAGAAAAAAAAGTCAGGAATATGGAAGCCCAACAACGGAACGAGAGAATACAGTACCAGAAAGAAAAAATAAATGCTGAAAAGAGCCTTCTCCAAAGTCACGATGAGTTAAAGATGAAATTGGAGCGAGATTACAAAAAGATGCTGATTGAGGAGAAACAAAAATTTGAGCAGACAATAAAGGGATTAACGAAACAAATATCTTTCCTGCAAAATCAGAGGAAAGAAATTCAAGATAAGTTGCTAAAGAACGAGTTAACAGCCAATGCTCAGGCAAAAGCACAACAGGAGTCAAGAAGCAAGATGGTAATTCAGATGGAGCACGAGATCTTTGAGCGAATGGAACGCGAAAAAAGGCCCATGGAAGATAAGATTAAAGACCTTCAACAAGAAATCAACAAGTTGAAGAGGGAAAAATCTGAATTACGTGATACTCTGGAAGGTGAAAAGCAAGAACTTGAAAATGAGCTGGACAAAATGCAAGCAGAGATGAAGAGAAAGCTCAGCAAGGCGAGAGAGGATGTGGAGAGAAATACGAACGTTACAGGGAAACATATGATGGCAACAACAATAAAAAGTGTCCTTGTGAGTATATGTTAAAATGAATACATATGTGCAAATTTATTTATAAAATAGTTATATGAGATTGTTGTACTGAAAGCCTAACTCTTTTGAAAAGGTTGGTTCCGAAACGAGTCATCACTGTGCTCAATCTGATGTTCGACAATACAAGGAGCAAATCAACTTGATGGAACAACGGAACATGACTCTTCAAACCAAAACAGAGAGACTGGAGCGCGAGCTCAGAGTTATGGGCGACAGATTGAAAACTCTGGAAGTACGAAACAAGGATTTAGAATTCGCTAACAGAGAAGAAATGGTAAGAGTGTTATCCTTTTAATATTCAAAGTGGAGTTTTCCTAGTCAAGTCAAATTGAATAAAGTTGGTGTCTCCTAGTTTGCCAGTAACTATGGATAAGAAATACACCTTAGTCAATAGTAAAGATGGTGCCTTACCTAAGTAAGGCCTCTAACCCCATTCGTTGAATTTGTTTACAGAGCAATAGAAACGACGTATTCCGGTCGGGTTTTGGACTTTATGGAGAATCAGACATCCGCGGAGCCAACGACCTTTCAATTGGCTCAACAATTAGTGGCATGAGGTCGGAGGCCAGAATGTTCCAGCCAAACGTTTCTCCAAGAATGAGTTCAGCTAATGCCAGTTCTTTGCTGGGTTCAGGGCTATCCTATGGCGACATTTTAGACAAGGTTCGGTATACAATGCACACCACAGGAAGTATTTCTGACGCTCTCAGGGGTCCAATGTCAAGCACAAGTGGAATAATCAGCGGAAGGTTCCATGGGGATACAAACTCTGCGCTAAGGCAAGGTGATCCAATAACAGGAGGAATGCCTAAGCAATCAACGATATCTTCTCTGGGAGTCAGAAATGTCGAAGTTAGCAGTTCTCTCGGTAATGCAGGTGGAAATTTGACAGCTGAAGGAGTCGGAGGCGACTCTTATGGCAAAGAAGGGAATCATTAACCTTCAGTAGTGTAAAGATATTACAAACTCAATCAAGGGAGTGACGTGATAACTATCATGATATTAATAATGACAATGAGAGAGGACTCTTTTTTCAATGACAGCACAATGGCAAGTATTTCAAATAATAGGGCGCTGAGGCGTTGAGATAACTACAAGGTGGATTTTAAAGACCATAATTTTTTAGAGTTACATTGGACATCACAATTAATAATTACCACCGTTAAATGAGTGTCCTAATGATAATGCATCACTCACGGCCGTGCACTATTTCTTTTATAACCCTTGTTAGTAAGGTTGGTATTGTATACATAGTTAGTTACTAAAATTTCTTTTCAAAAATAGCAAAAAGTTCGGTTAAATATTTTTTCTCTGTCTCTCTTTTTTTTTTAAACAAAAAAGCTTTTATTAACCAATAAAAGGCCTATTTGCTTTATTTTTCAAAAGGGGCACATAACCTACATAAGATTAAACTGCCTCAGTTTGTTATTTTGGTTTCATTAAGCAATTGCGAGAGATCCATTTGGTTAGCGAAATTGGTATAGACCAGTCTTAGAGATTTGAAGCTGTCGTTCTAAATGATAGTCACGGATATCGTGAGCCTCAATACTTCAGTTCAAATGTAATTGCTAGAAATTGTTATTGAAATGTTGATACTGTGTATATCAAAGTAAGTATCGTTTCTTTGTAAGGTCTGTTGTAAACCCTTACGTTGTTTTCGCGTTGAAAATAATTGAAATGGGCACTTAAATTTTCCTTTGAAGGACTTGATACTTTGCTTTGTAAATGGTTTACTACTTTATTTCTATATCGATGTTTGCATCAAACACAAGCAGGGTTAACAGTGATATTAATTTTAATTATCATGTTATCAATTATTATCTATAGGTGATTTAATGGGCATTGCCGCAGCTGGTAAATCGTATAATTGTTTCCTTCAGATACATGAGTTACATTCGGGTTTTTTTTTCAAAGCGGCATGGTTTATAGTACAAAGGATATCAATAAAATATAGGGGATTTTATCTTATAGGACGTGCTTTCTACTTTCTACTTTCAGTTTAAGATAATTATTTTCATTCATCGTTGTTCCAAGAAATAACAATTTTCAAAGTAGGCTGGTAATGTTCAGCATACTGATAAAGCTTTTTAATAGTCCTCCTGGAGCTTAGCAGCTATACAGGTGCAAAATCTACGTTTGTCTTTTCCCTCAATCTACACATCAATTAACACCCCCCCATCATTAGGCTAGGCTCAATGCCAAATAATTTACATTGAAACATGGACCGGAACACCTTCAATTCATCAAATAAGTACGCGGCGTCACTGGTCATAATCCTAATAAAAGCAGAGCGTTAGCTGTTGTTAACCCGGATTCAGAATACATGCTTGTTTCCTTTGTTCATAACATCTTCAAAGCATAGAAGATGAGCTAGAAGGACATTAACATTTGGCTGGTACTTAACCAAGTAAAACCGCAAAACCACCTGTGTCCTAAATCTACAAACCTACACCGGTTTTTTAAAATAAAAATGTTCCGTCAACCCGGTGTATAAAAGCTGAAGGACAAGTAACGGAACGTTTACGAAACAGGCCGGTGTAATCGTTAAGGAATTGAATGCATGGCAGGAAAGGGACAGCACTAGTTGAGGTTTTCCCTTTGTGAAATACCGGGAGATCTGTGGTTTAACTTTGTATTTATATCCCACGGCTTTGCAGTAGATTGCATAAAAATGAAAAAATGGCGGTTTATTTGTAATTTGCCGGGTTTTTAAAATAGTTAACGGTGAAATCGTAATTTTTAGACAAGAAACCCCCCCCCCCAAAAAAAAATTATTTTATTAGTTTGGCAGGTGTAGCTTTGATTTAAGGTTAAATTTCAAATAATTTTTTTAAAATGTATCTTAATATAATTGACATTATTGATAAAGGAGGACACATCTCCGCGTGACCTGCTAAAAGGAAAATGCAAATGAATTTGACGTGACACAACCAACTCCTCTGATTGGATTTCGTCGTGGATGATAATTTTTTACTAACCCAACTGTTTATATCCTGGAGAAAAACAGTCAAAGTGCCAGAATATAGACATTTTTCGAGCTGTCAACCAAGGAACGAGAGCTTACTGGCAGAGGAAGATGTCGTAGACTTGTGTAGAAGATGTAGCTATTTTTGAAAAGGCACAAGTAAACGAAATTCAGGTAGGTTTACAAAATTATGAGAAACGTTCGTTATGAAGCCCTTTTGCACAAGTATATTGGCAGCTACTCTTTATGCAGAGATGGATATGAACAAGAGAAAATTATATGAGTGACATGTTTTCTGTACCAGAAAACTGAAGAACTGTCAGTACTATACTTATAATCAATCATATATTTGAATACTCAAAAGTAATTCGTACTATCGACAATATCGCTTCGATAAAAATTCCTAAATCTTTTTAGTGTTAAAAATTGATGCGTTAATTCATTAGCTGGTAGAACTTTACAGACAATAACAAGGCTTAATATTTTTACTTGCGAAATTCAAAGCTATTTTTTTTTTTATTTTTCTTCCTCAATCAAATATATTTTACAATTTTACATTTAAATTTTCTGAAAACATGTGAAGTGACAGTTTAAATTTAAGATGAGTTTCATTTATACTTAAACTGGGTAAATATACCCAAAATTTGCTCTTGCCTGTTTTTCTTCGGTGTTTAAGAATAATTTAGCAATTAATATTCAAGATTCAACCACAAACATCTAAATTCACAGTTTCGAATTCGTGCTTACTTCAGACTCCATTTGACTTAGGGAGGTATGAATACCAATAACCTTTTCCCTTTGGAAAAGTATAGCGCCTCGGATTAACTGCAAAGATTTGGGGAAAAAACTTGACTGAAAAATTACATAGTTCTTGTTAACCGAGTTCGAAGTGCACTCTGTTAGCCATGGACCCGGCGAGGCTTTCCCCTTTGAGCCCTTTAACTGGGAACAGGGTCCTAAATGGGAACAGGAGAGAAAATAAGCGAAGATGCCTTTATGCTGTTCTCTATATATGGATGTAAAATACCTTCCTCACCAATAATCTCTTCATTCTCAAAAAACAACATATTTTCTTTAATTTATACAATAAAACCAGTTTATCGAAATATAATTTAGTGATACGATGTGTAGGAAATTTTAACAGAAGACAGTAGCGTTAAAGATTATGTTTGTGTCCTTGTTTACTTAGGGGAAAATCACAGACATGTCTGTGGTCGAAATCAATGAGTCCCAACCCATAGATGGTTGGGGAAGTCCTTACTATGCTGAACCTACCTCATACTCCATGGTTACCAACGAAATTCCAATGGAAGACCAAGGAGGAAGTTGGAGCATGGAAGTCGTGGGAACAATTCCAACGGACCAAAATAACAATGCGGAAATCCAGTCTCTTAAGCAACGAATTCTGGTGCTGGAAGAGGAAAAGAAAAGTCTCAATAACATGTATCAAAAAACGGTAACGGATTACGAACTGTCGAAAACAAAACTGATGCAAGAATACGAGACAAAGATCGGGCAACTCAAAATTGAGCGAGACAACTGGCAAAAAAAGTACAACGAGTCACAAAGAGAAGTCCAAAGACTTAAGCAAAAGATTTCCGCCATGGAAATAGAAAATCTTCGTATGATTGAAGACTTGAAAAGGGAGCTTTCAAACAAATGTAAGATGGAGAAGGCAGAGATGGAAACCAGGTTCTCCACTGAAAAAGATGAAATGCAAGACAGCTTCGAAGAACAAATACACATGCTTCGAGCAGAAAACGAGGGTCTGCTACAGACGTATCAGAAGAGCACAAAGGAGTATGAGATGAAGATTGTACAAATTCAGCAGGAATATGAAGTTAAACTAGGACAGCTTAAACTTGACAAAGAAAAACTTGCGAAAAAGAATACTAACCTCAGCACACAAGTGACTACATGGCGTGAAAAATGCTCATCTCTTGAGAAACAATACGAAGAAATGCTGGCAAACCTGAAGATCGAGTTGACGGAAAAATGCCAAGTTGAAAAGGGTGAGATGGAAGCTGCCTTCACGAAAGAAAAGGAATCCATGATGGCAGCTCACCAAAAATCCCTAGACGAATATGAAGTGAGAATAACTTCAGTCACTGAGCAATATGAGGAACAGTTGGCGCAACTCAAAGCGCAGAAGGATACATTTGAAACAAGTTACAACGGTTCTTTGGAGGAAATTACCGAGCTGAAGAAAAAATTGAAGGAGTTAGAGGAAAGCTACGAGTTACAGATGAGGGAGCTCCAAGATAAGCTAAAGATGGAGTACCTTCAAAAAGAAAATGCCATGGAAAGTGAATTCGATACAGACAAGCAAGACTTAATAAACAAGTACAAGAAACTTATACAACAAGGTGAGATTAGAATACTGGAAATTCGAAAGGAAAACAAAGTGATTATTACGAAACTGGAGGCAGAGAAGACACAGCTCATGGAGAAACATGCTGCAGAAACTCAGACATGGCAGGAAAAGGTTAACTCGCTAGAACAGAAGTACAAAGAACAAATGAAAGCTCTGGAGCAGGAGCTGCTTGAAAAATATGAAAAGGAGAAGAATGAATTTGAAGTCAACTTCATGAAAGAAAAAGAAGAAATAATTGAAAGCCACAAGACCACGATTCAGAGTTATGAAACAAAATTGACAAGCACTCAACAAGAATATGAAGTGAAAATTGCTCAGATGGAAAAAGAGATAGAAAGGCTCGAAGAGACCAATAAGGCAAACACGGAAAAAATGGAACAAGAAATTTTAGTTTTAAAACAGGGTCACGAGAAACAGATTAAGGCAGTCAAAGATGAGATGACAGAAAAATGCAATAAGGAAAAAAGTGAAATGGAGGAGACATTTTTCAAAGATAAAAACAATTTGGTAGAGTCCCACAAGACTGTGATAACAGAGTACGAAGAAAAGATTACTAGTCTCCAGGAGGAATTGGATGCAAAGGCTGATGAGATGGAAAGTGAAGTGAGGGGCCTCAAGGAGTCACACCAAAAAGCTCTTGAAACACTGAGACAAGAAATGGCTGAGTTAGAGAAGAAGCATAAATCAAATACCAAGGAGCTTAAGGAGGAAATGACGGCTAAGTTCGACAAAGAAAAGGAAGAATTAGAGTCAAGATTTCTAAAGCAGATGGAGGAGCTAAAGGTGTCCAATGCAAACACAGTTAAATCGTACGAATATCAACTAGCCGCAATCAAAGAAAAATACGAAAAGAAATTGGCAGATTTAGAGGCTGCCATGAACAGTCACGAACAGAAGTATAAAGAAAAGATCCAAGGGCTGAGAGAAGAGTTGTCTAGTAGCGTGGATAAATATGAACAGCTTATTAAAGAAACGAAGAAAGAACTGCGACAAAAATATGAGAAGGAAAAAGAAGAGATGGACAAAGAATATGCTGATGAGAAATCCAAGTTAACAGAGAGTCACGAACAAACTGTGGCTGATTACGAAAAGAAGATAGCAGACATCCAAGAAGAAATGAATTTAAAGTTAGAAAAACTTAGAGAGGAAAAGGTGTTGTTGAACGAAGACCACAGCCAAAAAGAAGAGGAATTGATAAAAAAATGTACGACACTAGAAGAGACTTACAAATTGAAAATGACGGAAATTAAAACATCTCTTAAAGAAAAATGTGAAAAGGAGAAGAGCGAGATTGAGGCAAACTTTGACCAAGAAAAACAACAGCTCATCGAGAGACAGAGTGAGATCGTTAAGAAGTACGAAGTTAAGATAACTGATCTGCTGCAAGATTTCGAGAAAAGGAATTCTCATTTTACAGCCGAAAGGGAGAAACTCGAATCGCAGAAGAAGAAATTACAGGCACAGCTTGATAAGCTCCGTAAAGAAATGTTGAAATTACGAGAGCAATACGAAACAACTCTGAGAACCACAAAGGAGGAAATGGCTGACAAGATGAGGAAAGAGAATGCAGAAATAGAGAAGCAATTCAAAAAGGAAACTGAAAATTTGAAGGTGCAACATACTAAGAAGTTACAGCAGATGAAAACCGAGAAAGAGGCCATAACATCTAAACTAGAGCAAACAGTAAGAGATCTGGAGTCCAAAATCAAGGACTTGCAAAACCAGTACGATCAGAAGACAGCTGAGCTAACGAGAGAAAACGACAGATTAGTTGAGAGGTGCCAGAATCTAGACAGAAAGAATACAGAGGAGAACACCAGTCATAGAACAGAGACAGCCGAACTAAAAGAGGAAATAAAGAAGCGTGAAAACTGTATGGAAGAAAACAAGAACAAATATGAACAAGAGGTAGATAAACTGAAGCAAATTATAGCGCAGATGAAAGAGGACATGGAGCATAAAAGTAATCAATTGACAACGATGGAGAAAGAGCTAGATCGAGTTCAAAACAATCTTAAGGAAAGCCAAGAAGAGTTTATCTTACAGATAAGTTCATTAAAGAAGAAGATTAGTACGTTAGAAAATGACAAGAGGGGTTTGTTGAGCCGCATACAGAGCCTTGAGGCTTCCAAGAAAGACACAATAGTTTATTACGAAGAAAGAATTGTTAAGGAGCGAAAAGAAATTGAACTGAGGTGCATGTCACAGGTATCAAAGCTACAGGATGCACTCACGAAAGAATCGCAGGAGAAAGACGAGATTAACCAAGAGAATCAGGAACTTCTGAGGGAAGTGACAAATTGGAAGACAAAATTCAGCAACGCAGAGGACGAATACACTAACAACATGGAAGATTTGAGGAGCAGGTATGAAAAGGAAATAAGCGACCAAAAAATTGATTATGAAGATGACTTAGCCGATTTGAATAAGCAATTGGAGCAAAAGAATGTAACCATTTCAGCACTGGAGAAAGGAAAGCAAGAGCTTACCACGGCGGTCAATGAGCTAACCATCACAGTAGCAGGACTTGAGGAGGAAGCTACCAGACAAAACCTTGTATGGGAGAAAGATACCCTCGCAATGAAAAACAAGATCGAGATGCTTGAGGATGAAAATAGAAAATTAAACAATGAATCGGAACGATTACGCTTGAAATTGGATGACGTTGAAAGACTTTTCAGCGAAATTGAAGAGCAAAATGAAGCGACCATTAAAGACCTCAACGTAAAGATTGAAGAATACGAGACAAAGATAAAAGGATATTTGGAGGTTGAGACAGCAAATCGTGACACGCTTAAGGAACTATCTCGCTTACGATCTCAACTTGAGGCTAATACAGCAAAGGAGAGCAAACTGAACCAGGAGAACGGCACCTTAACATTAAAGATAACAGAGTTGGAGTACCTTAATAGAAGACTGACCGACGATCTAGCAACAATGGCCAAAAAATGTTCAGATTCAGAGGAAGAACGTAAAATGGAGCTTGAGCAGTTAAAAGAGAGGCACGAAATGGAGAGAGAAAAACACATCGGTGAAAAAGATAAGGCAACGGTCGAAGTGCGGAGATTACAAAAGATCGTAAACGAACTAGAAAGTACTATAAGACGCTTAAAGGACTCTGCCGAGTCAGTCAACGAGGAGAAAAAGAGAGACGAAGATCGTTTTAACTTTGAATTGCATGGTTTACTTGAGAAATACGAAAGTGAAAGGAAGAGGAACGAGACGTTGAAGGAGGAGCTCCAGCAGAAGACCCGCATTTTTGAGGAAAAGAACAGAGAGTGGACACGAAAACTGGAAGATGCCAGCTATAGACATCGAGATGAAAGAGAAAAGCTCCTAAAGGAAAGGAAAACTTTAGAGGAGAGTTATGAGAAACAGCTGAAGGATCTGAAAGAAGAAGCAACCAACGAAAGAGAGATTTGTGAAAGGAAAATAAGTCAACTCGAGCAAACATACAAGCACGAGATCAACACAGTTCGTTATGAACGCGAGCAGTACTTTAGAGAAGTAAGCAGTAAGGAAATAGAGAAGACCCGTAAGGAACTGGAAAAGGAGAAGAATGATCTTCAGCAAGAATTCCTAGCGGAAAAGACACAGCTGATTGAAGACTATAACAAGAGAATTCAAGACGAGAATAGGAGGTTTACTCAGTGCGAGGAGAAGTATAAAACTGAATTAGAAACACTTACAAGGGCAAAGTCGGAGATGGAGAGGAAGATATACGATCTAGAGACGACAATTGAAAGAACCAAAGAACAACTGACGTATCGCTTCACGGAAGAACGTCGTAAGATAGAGTATAAGCTAGAATCGGAGTTGAGGGAAGTCAAGGAAAAACACAGACTAGAGCTCATAGAACGTTCGCAAAAAGACAAACTGGATATGGAGGCAAAAGTCAAAACCGAGAGAGAAGAATTTGAAGAGAAAATAAGTCTTGAGTATCAAGCCAAGATAACAAAAGAAGTATCCAATCGGGAAAGGCAACTGAAAGATTCTTTCCAGAAACTAGAGAATGAATTTCGTGCAGAAAAGGAGCGGTTACTGGAGACGGAAGGAAAATTGAAGATGCAAAACGAATTGTTGTTAAGGGAAAAAGATGCGTGGCTTAAGCAAAGCCAGAGGGACAAAGATGAACTGTCCGGAAAATTGGAACATGAAAAGGAATTGCTAAATGTAACCTTGGAAGCTATGTCCAGGGAGCTTTCCAAGATGAGAGAGGAAAAGACTTCTCTATCCGAATCCTTCAAGAAAGAAAAACGAGAGCTAGAGAAGAAGTATGAAACAGAAATGGCGGAATGGAGAAACAAGGTCGAAAAGGGAAAGCAAGAATTGATGGCACGACTCCGAGAAGAGTACAGACAGGCATCTCAAGCTAACCAACGATCGGCAGACGCAACTATAGCTGACCTTAAAGAAAAACTAGTGAAAGCAGAAAGGAAGATCGTAGAAGCAGAGGAGAACTTCAAGAAGGAGAAAAGCAAGTTAGAACATCAATTTAAGCACGAGAAAATGGAAATAGAGCAACGAACTCAAAGGATCACGCAAGAATTAAAGGTTTTCTTGGAGCAGGAGTTTTACAAAAGATCACAAGACGAAAGGAAGATTTATGAGAACACCCTGTCGAACCTACGAAGCGAAATACTAGAACTTCAGGAAGGCAAGAGCAGACTTGAACGAACTTTATTGGAACAACAAATGATCGCGCATAGCCTCGGGAGAGACGTCAGTTCACTGAAGAGTGAGACGCAGCAGTCAAGCCCTAGGCAACGGGAACTGAGTCTCCTGGAGCGAGAACTTCAAGAGTTACGACACAAAAACGAAAAGCTGAAAATTGCCACGAAAGAGGCTCAGTTTTATAACAATGAGCTTGTACAGTGGGAGAGTGGAAAGAATTGTCCAGTTTTGAAAACTGCTCAAGAAATGACGTCCACTGCCTCGACCTCACAGTTTCCTGTAGTTTATAGCGGAGAAAGAGGGGTGAGTACACGTAAAATTGTCGCAATGTCATTTATAAAGTCAAATAAAGCCCTGAAGGAGCGCTTATTAGGAAACCTTCATCAAAAAGTGCCGAATTGCGCTCTTTTTAACACTGTTAGAGGTGGGGAGACGAAGCTAAAATTGAGCATTGATGAGTGAAAGTGATTCGACGAGAAGCTGAGTTCATTTCCATAGAGTTTAAAGGAAACAAATCAGAAGTGCTAAAGTTTATAAATTGATTTGAGAGAAGAAATTTACTAGCCGAAGACACTAATTAACAATAATTTTCCCTGTTACACTATACAAGGAAGGTTCCCACAAGCGTTTTTAATCAATCGATGTTATCGTTTTCCTAAAGTTATCGAGGGTCTCTAACGAAGGCAAAACCCGAATCCTTGAGCAAACAGGCCTAAGGTTTCAATCAAACAACGATCGTCTTGAAAAAGAGTTGGAGAAAATGGGAGAAAAGCTGATGGATTTGGAAGAAAGAAAAACGGATCTTATGCTAGAGGTAAGGTTGAATTAACTGACCAGATGTTTATGAAAGCACAAGGTCGCTCTAACATGTTTCTCGTGACGTGCGTTTTTCCAGATGTAATTGTTGGGTGTAACAAAACGACTGTTACCTCTGTGCTTATAGAGACCTTTGTCTCTCAAAATGCTTTTCTTAATTATATGTTAATCTTAAAACATAGACACTAAAAATAGCTATAAGTATACGTGATAAGAGTTTCTTAATCACTACCAATATCAACTTTATGAAATATTTAACAGGTTGAAGACGTCACAGCTAATTCAGGAGAAAACTCAGAAGTAACAAACACAAATCGATTCTACAGTAGCAGCACTAGCTATATGGCGAGCAATTCTTCGTCTGGACCTAACTACTATTAGGTAATGAAGAGGGGAGCACCTGCTAAGTCCAAAATGGGTTGACGAGTTTGTCACCCATGCTCGGATCTCGTTACTTTATTCACTAGTGATATAAGATTAATTCTTGGTGTTATTTGGTGTAAGATTATTACCCAGGCTATTAAGGAAAAGTAAGCAAACTGATTGGTCTAGGACTGCGTCACATCGTGTAATCATCACTTCGTGAAAGATGACTATAATACTGCAGCACGAAATCAAAAAATGACGACAGCCTGTATTGATGATATTTCTGAAGTGATTTTGAAGAAGAATGAAAGTGAAATTGCTTCGGTAATCGGGGAGATTGTACAGACTAGTCTAATTGGGTTCTTTCAACAGTATCAATGAAGTGCTAAAGCCACATGGAGTAAGTAAAAATTGTTAAATTTAGAGTATTGATATACAAAATGCCAGAAAAATAGTAACTGAACAGGCCTTTTTGTGACACTACATCTTAATCCAAAGCGTGTAGTTGATCGCTAGCACGTAATTTATAGTGATTTCAGTGGTAGAAAATTTTATTTCATTTTCAATCAACTGATTCACAAAGTTGCGTTTCACATCGAGTTCCACTGATTTTTCTTTCAGAGGATTTCTCCTTTGAAGGGAGAAGTTTATCAATCTTATCATATTTAAATTTAGTTTTCACAGTAGATCAGACTGTCTAGATGTTTAAGGACACGTATGATCTATTATTGCTTGCTAAGGCATTAGGTATCAATTTGAAGCAAATTGCGATGTGCAACATCAATTGAGGGGTAAGTCAAATTCTTTGATTATCACATTGGAGTGTGTCATTCCTCAAAGATTAAATACTTGTTCTACCGCTAGACTTTTCCACCTGGGAAACTAACTTAGCATCGTTGAGGTGCGGTAATCTATGAGACTACGAAAAAATTTAGGTAGTTATAGTCAGTTATCTCAAGCATTGGACAATTTTCACTCCGTTTTATAGCCATTTAATGTTTGTAATATTTATTATTTTAGATTAACACGAGTAAAGCCATGACTAGTTGTGGGGATTGTTTATTGTTTTACTTTCAGTGAATTTGTCTTTTTTGAGAGAAAGCTTTCAAATATTTTCCAACCGTTTATAATATGTAGCAGTAGTTTACTGAGGGTAGATAGATTGTTATGATAATCGGTTTAAGAGGCCATTGGGAACACGATGCTTTGTCTTTCAATTTCGTAGCATTTAGTAAGTCATAATAACTTAATAAGTAACCTAACTTTTATTTCGTTAGAAATATTTTAAATAATACAGCTCTTTTGGTGTCTGAGTGTTACCGGTTTATTAAAGGTACCAGTAATTTGAGGGTGTAGGATTAGTAGTGGACATTGGTGTGGAAGCCATGAAAGGCTATTAACAGCACGATGTTTTTTCTTTCAATTTTGTGTTCTAAAATTAATCATACCGACTTGACATGAAACTTTACTTTCATTTCGTTAGAAACACTTTCATTGGTAAAGCTTCCTAAGTAGCTAAACAATACAGTTTTCTTTTCTGGGAGAAATCGATTTGGTGAACTCATTTCTGTGAAATTTGTAATTTACGAGGAAACAAGTCGCCTGCATAATGCACTTTTTCAATCAAGGACATTTCATGTTCAGCAGGGAAGGGATCTATTCTTTGTGGGAGGCTATTGATTAATTCACATAATAAAAACATTTCCTCTGAGTCACTGCCTTCTTTCTTTTTTTAAACAAGGGGCTTAGTGTATGCGTGATACCAATACTTTAAAAAAAAAAGCAAAAAAACAAAAAACTGGTTTAGGTCTTTTTATATCTATCCTTCCAACTATCGCACAACGATCTACATCCCTGTATTTTGCAAGTAGTTAAAAACTCGCCTGAAAAGGTTCAACTCGGAAGTTGGAATTGTTGTTGATTTTCTTTGGTGCAGAAAGCACACGTGTATTGACGAAGTTGACATTCACAATAATACTAACTGTCAGAGACATTCATTTGAGCAGGATGATCTCCCCCCAGTCAGTATTGTGTTACTTTTTCTTATCATCTCAGCGATGACGGTAGTATATTGTTATCATTCCACAAAAGCGCAGTAAAAAGCAAATTTCATTCAATATCTATGCTTACCACTCTTAATATTTGGCCAAATGGCAATCCGAGTTTTTTTTTGTCTCCGATTTGATGATCGGCATGTATTACGCCCCTTTACGCAACTTGTGAATAAATTTGCGACAGAGTTTCCTTTTCTTAGAAAGCGGATAAGATTTGTCTCCCAAGAGTCTCTTCCGGTTTCATCAGAGTGGCGTCTGTCATACATTTCTAGGTTGGCTGGTCCTGAGAATTGAAATTTATTTTCAGAAACTATCTTCTTATTGATCATTTTTCCTATTCCCTTGATTCCTTTGCTTAAGGATGTTTTAAAACTGCAATGTGAATTTATTTACACATTCTGGGAGTCGAAAGGTCATTTTGTTCCATTGGGGATGGCGTGACTCATGAATCGTGCTGAAATGGCGTGACTGATATGCCGTGCTTACATCTGATAGTTTTTGACCGGAGTTGACAGAGTGTGGCGTCATCACCAAAGCTGAAGGAAGTCTGAAATCCTCACGTTTCATATAAATCTGATTGCATAAAGTAAGTTTTTCCTTTACTCTGCGTGTCAACGAGTTGAATCATCCAGTAAATGCGGTAAGTTTGTCTGTTAGGCTTAGCTGTCGGCTTGTTATGATAAGTCAGATAAGATAAGACAAGAATGAAATGCTTTTTTACGCTATCACAAAAATTGGCAAATAAGCTACTACACCGATTTCATATCTTGAATGTAGTAAACGTCTGGAGTACTATGACATGATGTAAGCTCTGCCAGTTCCCATTGAGCATATAAAAACAATGTGTCGACGTCAGTGTGTGATACATCACTCGTTTTTGAGGTACAAATACGTCCTTACCTTAGCTAGTGGTGTGACCCATCAGGATATTATCGATTGGCGAAGGACTCAGGAAGCCAGAGGCACAGTTTCGTGGATCCCATACAACTCGTTCAAATGTTGATGTTTTTACTTTCTTGATTCTATCACTGGTGTTTCTTGGACGTTGATTTTTGACTGCTCGTCCGTCAATGGCCCAAGGCAAATGATGACACGAGCAATGATTGACAGACGGTGAATAAATGAAGCGATAACAATAAGACT